CGCGCGCGCCGCGCGCCTTCCCCGCCGCGGCCGGCGCCGGCCCCGGGGCGCGCGGAGCGGGGCCGGGGGGGTCGAGGACGGCGGGTTGGCGGTCGGTCCTGACGCGTCTCCCCCGCCTCCCTTCCCTCCATGATCGCCTCCCTAGAGCGGCTGATTGATTCGGATCAAGGAAGGAAGGGAAGCGCGCTGCGCCTCAGCGAGGGCCACTGCTGGCGACTGGGCGCAAGTGCGCGCCGAGGCGGCGGGGGAGTGGCGAGGTGGCGAGCCCGGCCGGCAGGGCTTCCGCGGCCGCCCGGGGCAAAGCCGAAGAGCCGGGGGCCGCCGCCGGGCACGCCCGGGGCGCCCCCGGAAGGCGCGCCTCCGCCCACGGGGGGCTCGCCAGGCGCAGAGCCTGTGCTCGCCCGCGCCCGGGCTTCGCTCTGCCCGCCCGGATAAGCCCCTCGTGTTCAGCGGGGCCGAGGCCCAGGAACGCGGGCTTGTGCTCCCTCTCCCGCCCTGGCAGCGGTGGTGGTTGGCGGCCTTCCGCAGCCTGGTGCCCTTTAGACTCCAACTCCCATCAGCCCCGGCCCGTCGGGAACGTTGGGGCTGCGCCTGGCAGAGTCAAAACCTCCAGACCAGGTTTGCTGCTGTGGTGCTTTCAGTTTGGGCTTTGTCAGGAGCGAGGCTGAAGAGACTCGCAACAAGTGCCAGCGCTCCCCCGCGGGGCCCCGGGGACTGTTTCAGGTGGCTTTAAAACGGGATTTGAGCAGGGGTGGAGCTGTTAAAATCGAACCTGAATATTGCTCAGAAGCAGTGTAACACTGCATGCCAGATGTTAGGGACAGCCAGATGTTTGGGACAGCCTTCATGTGCTGCCTCTCCAAAACATACCTGCTTGCTGGACTGCCCAACCCGGTGCCCTCCCGGTGTTTTTGCCTTCCACTCCTGCCTGTCCTGGGCAGAGGAGCTGATGCTCAGGGATGCTGGGAGCTGTAATCTAAAACTTCTGGAGGATGCAGGCTGGGGGGGGGGGGCTGGGCTAGATGGAGCATGGGTCTGTCCCAGCAAAGATCTTCCGTTCCCCTCCACATGAACCTGGGAAGGGGCCTTCTGCCAAGCTGAGCCATTCTTCCAGGGAAGAGGAGCAGGTGGCCCTAGAAGAGGGGCAACCCGGCAGCATCCAGAGGGCCACTTCTTGCTCACGCTAGATTAGCCCCCTGTTGTGCATTCCCGGCAGAAATGGCTTTTCGGGGACTTGGGCAGAGAAAGTTTATCTCCTGCACTGCTACCTCAGGTCTTTTTAACTGGAAGTGGCTGAACTGGAGTTTAACTGGAGTTGATCCCAGACCCTTCGTAGAGTCTTCTGAGCCTGGCATGGTCTCCACCTGCTGATCATAGCGTGACCGATTTGCTGAAACTTGTTTAAAAGGAAGCTGCTTCCCAGCAGGTGCAGTTCACACGTTCTGCTGTCCCTGACCCATCGGTGGCTATACATTCCCAGGAAATCTGCCCTGGAAACACAAGCCCAAGACAGCTGGAGGGATCAGTTGTGTGTCTGAAGCTAAGGATGGGTGAACAAGTGATCTTTGTGTGCACCCAGATTGGTTTAAACGGAGTTGATGACCCTGGTTTACCACATTCATGAACTTTGTTTTGTGTGAATAGGAGAACAGTGCAAAATGAAGGTTAATGCAGAAATGTGTGTATATTCTGAAAGTGTGCGCTTTCCCCTCATACCTACAGCGTGAGAATGTGCTTTTTCTAAACATCTATTTTTTCAGATGTGAATGCATGTTGAGAGCTTGCGAAGTTCTGGAGAACGCATTCTCAGATGCTCAGGGTAGCGAATGCAGCTTGCTTGGGTGATTTGTAAACATGTCCATCCCTGAGCAGCCCTCTGATTTCTTACAAAATGCAGTTTTTGACTGTGCTCTCCTTGTTATTTCCCCACCTCAAGCTTGTGCCCTCCAGATCTGTGAGAGAGGAACTCCCATTATTCCCAGCCAGCTTGCTGGCTGGGGGTGCTGGGAGTTGTAGCCTGTATTTGGAAGGCACTTGGCCAGGTAAGGATGAGTGAAGTTTCTCATCTATGCAAAGATAGATAGATAGATAGATAGATAGATAGATAGATAGATAGATTAATAAAGCATCCCTCGTCGTCTTAACTTTCTTTTTATACTTTTGTTTCACTTCTGCTTTTCTTTACTTCCTTTCTTGTGTCATTTTGCTTTCACTTTCTGCATTATTCCCCCCTCCCTTTCTGGCTGTCATTTCCTTTTGATTTTCTTTTATTTTCCATAGATCCTCCTGCTCAATGGGGGCAAAGTTCCTTTCAGTTTAACTTTGTTCCTTGTAAAAAGGTGCCAATATCTAAGACTGTATTAAATTCTACAGCCGTCTTGACTTAAAGAGGAATTATTCTGAGGATAAGTAAAGGCAAATTGAAGATGAAACAATCCCATTTGTCCCTCAGGTTGCCCTTTAACATCTCTTTAATGACAGAAATTAAACCTGTGATTCCCCTTCACCCCCTCATTGCTATATTGCCCTGATAGGGAAAACTTAACCTCTTTCATTTTGATGCGTCGGTCTGCTTTTAAAGCCCATGAGCCAGTCCAGCAAGATACACACAATTGTACAATTGGCATTCAAGATGCAGAGGTATAGCTATCCAATGATGTGCTTAGTAAAATGAATGTAATATCTAATTGCAAAATCTGGCATGTTATTTTAGCAATGAGGTAGATCAAAACCTTTGCTCCTGATCCAGATGGGGGAGAAGTGCTCTCTTTCTGCCTGGCAGAATCAGACCGAGAACGACTTGCCTCCACTGGAATTTGGAAACTCCCTTGTATCGAGCATGGCTATTTATCCGTCCAACCCAGAACTGTCTACCCTGACTGGCAGCTGCTCTCCAGGGTCCCAAGTAGAAAAGAGTTATTAGCACTGGGCCATACCTGGATGTTGGATACAGAAGCTCATGGTCAATTTCTCAGGTTCTTGCACATTCTTGGAGGAGTTTGTGCAGGAGAATATCCCCACAGACAGGAACTTAAGTTCCTCCTGTCCCGAGGTTGGGCAGTCGCGCTCAAATGTTTTACTTTGTGTAAGTTACATTGTGTGTTTGCTTGCTTGGGAACACACAATTATTTCTGTCCAGATGTCTCATTCTGGTTTGACTGTAGGAAATTCCAAACGGCCCAAGATGAGAACATTTTCTTTTCATTGTAAATAGACGATGGACATCACTGAGAGAAAGAAAGAAAATCCCGGGAGCAGCAGGACCTTAGTTTTCAACAGAAGCCCGTCTCTCTTACCCTGCCACAGCTCTGGATCTTGTGTTGGAATTCTGTCGATTCCCCCCCCCCCGCCCCAAAAAAAGCCCTTCAGCATTTCTTTTGTCCTCCCTTTTGGATGGCAGAGTAATTGTGACATTTGGGGTGTGCTTGGAATGAGAGAGAAAGCCATCTGCCACATCTAAGAGATGATTGAGGCGCTTGGATGAGTCTCTCCAAATCCATTCTGCTCTTTAACAATACCTGGGAATAATTGCAGGGTTTATTAATATTTTAAGACAGAGGGTTGTGGCACAGCCATGTTCAAGGGTGCTCAGAATGTCCCTGGTTATCCTGCGTACTTTCTTGCCATCATTCTTCTATTGAGAAACCCTAGGTGCAAAGGGGCGGGAGAGGAGTGCTCATCCGTTTCCAAAATGGTTTCTCTGTCTGCGTTGTGTACCAGCCTTTCCTCTCGCTAGTACTAATGCCAGCACCCTGGCTTAAGGCCAAGGGAGTTAGACAAAGGCGCTCTAGCAAGTGAATATATCAGATTCGCAGTGATAGGACTACAAATGCTCTTGCGCTCGGAGTGGACAGCAGTTCAGGGCTGGAGGGGCCAGTTCTCAGGAGTCCAGATTAAAAGCTTCCTTCTTCACCACACACACTAAAAATTCAGGCTTGTGACTTAGGCTCCGCATCTAATTTTTTTCCTTAAAATCAACAGCTGACAGAAGGTAAAGCGAGCAATTGTTTGCCTGCTTTTCTAGCCTGGGTTTTTTTTTTTTAAAGCCTGCAGAAAAATTCCCTGAATGGTTCCTTTGTTGAATTTCTTCCTATTAGGCAGGTGTCAAAGAACAGGAACCCTGTTCAAAGAAACGGGTGGAAGGGAAGGATGGATGGAAGGAGGTAATTCAAACTCAACTATCTGGGACTGAGAAATCCTGGGTTGCTCTCCTGCTCCTGTGGAGCTGCACAGGCAAACCGGGTTTCTCAAGTTTGAAGGTCACTGTGCAGACTTCCCCGGCACGGCACTCTCCAGATGTGCCGGTCGACATCTCCCCTTGGCCATGCTGGCTGGGGATGGTGGGAGTTCTAGTGCAACACATCTGGAAGAAACAAAGTTGGGGACAGCCGCCAGACAGCCGGAGCCTCCGAGAACTAGGCTTTTATGGGCTGCTTGACTTCCTGCAGTTAATTCCCCACTTCACTTTTACTGTTTCTAGCAAGGGGGTGGGCAGCAGCTCTTGTAACCTTTGCATGAAAGAAAAAGGACCATTCGTATTATACTGCTAAGGAGTCTGACCTCTGCAAAGAGTGTCTCTGATTTGTCCTTGATACACGCTCCCGCCCTTGTGTACCTCTAGCGCTGCTCCCACCATTATCTCCCACCGCTCTCCACCATTTAGGTTACCAGCTTTTTCAAGAATGTTGCTACTGTGCCTTTAACAGCCCAACCCATGGAAGTTAAGTAGGTGAGACCTTTCTGTGGTAGAGAGAAAAAGCAGCAGGCAAGGCAGAACTCCTGTGTATCCCACTACCTCTAAGGGCACATGAGCATCACCAGTAAAAAAAAAAACAACAGGTTGGTAACGACATTTCCATGTTCTGTTCTTGTTTTCCTGCAACTGTGGCTGCTGGCTGCTGCCATCTTTTGTTTTAGCAGAGCTCCTGAGCCTTGCTCAGCTGGAAGGTGAATCTACATACTTGTGCTGGGAAAAAATGAAGGCCTGACTAATTTCCACTTTTTGTTTGGCTTTTAAAACCATTCCAGAAAAGATGTTAGCAACTATTGTCACTATATTGTTGTCCAAATACCCACGAAAGGTTTAGTGTAAAGCAGATGCTAACATTATTGAGTGATAGGCACTGCTGTCCAGAACTTGCTTGCCAAAATAATTTACCTCTTTTGAAACAACATTAAACAAAAAACAGGCCTGAGGACTTCATAAAATCAAACGGGGACAAGAGAGCAGCTAAGATCAAGTACTTTTTAAACAATAGCAACCTAGCATCAAATTATCAGCAAGACTTACGAGATTAAAAACAAACAATCAGGGTGTTTCAGCTTGTGCCTGCAAGATCAAATTGCTTTCGACTTCCTTAGGCTTGAAAGAGAACCAAACACCCCTGGGAAACAGGCTTCCCCAGTCAGGTGCAAACACCGAAAAGGCCCTGGAACTTCGGGAAGGGAACGTACGTGCAGCAGGGCCTCATGGGGCGGTCTTGGTGCAGCAGAGGCTCCTCCAAAGCCTTCTGAGCCCCCCCCCCACCTTGCTGCATCCTGGCACGTCCCCTGGCGCGACGCGCATAGGACAAGCCGGACGGCGAGCCCTGCTTCCCAGCCGCGCCAGGGCTGCGACCGGGAGTCTTTCTCCTGCCATCCCTGAGCAAGACTGGCTACATGTTGATCTCCTCCATTCCTCCCACCCTCCCCACCCCTCCAGCTGGTCTTAGCTGGCACGACTAGGAACGCGGCCATCTGCATTGCGCAAGGGGGCCTGGCACTGCAGCCAAATCCACCCCCCGGCTTTTGTTCTTGGGGCTCGCTGCGGCGGCGCTGATAAGGCGCGCTCTGTGATCAACTGCCGCTATGTCTTACTACGTTTTCGAGGCAGACAGCAAAGGGACAGGTAAATGCACTCGAGTTGCCCCTGCTGGCTTGGCATTTGGGGGTGGGGGGGGGATGCTGCCTTCAGGACTCAGCAGCGGCCTCTAGTGCGGGCTTTGGTGTGCTGCGGGGAATATTTCCCCTGGAGGAGCTGCGTGGGGAGAGCCTGCCATTCGGCGGCTCAACTGCTTGGCTCCCTCGTCCCGGGTGCGCCGCTCTGCCTGCACTGCAGTCCCCGGTGCCTTTCTCACTCTGCTGCCCTCTTCTCCAGAGCCGCTGCTTCAGAGGCAGAGCCCCTGTTGTACCCGCACGCAGCCCCAGGTTCCAGCTGTGGCATCTGCAAGTAGAGCCGTGGAGAGCTGTTGCTGCCAGTTCGGGTAGACATCACTGACCTGGATATATAGAGCAGGACCCATGGTCTAAAGCAGCTTACTAGGTTGCTATTAAAGTTCACCCTTTATTTAGGACCATGAGGACTAGGATACTATTCATAGTTTATTGGTAGAGGATGTTCTTTGCATGCAAAAGCTCTCAGGCTGGGTCCATCGCATCCCCAGGTAGGGCTGGGAAAGGCCCAGCTGAAGCAGTGCAGAGCCGGGACCGCTCTCAACTAGGCGGGCAATATGGTGACCTGACACTCAGTGAACCGGCCCCCTGCATTCATGAAGACCCTCTCTTTCCCTGGGCTTGCGATGCATAGCTGCACATAAGTGTCCAAGTGTGAGGAATGGGCAAGGACTCCCGTGGTGTTAGATGAGGGGACAGGTCTTTAGCTGAGCCATGCTTCATAGACATCAGTGTTCCCATCTGTAATATGGGAATAATATTTATCTAATTCACAGAGTTCTTGTTCTGGGAAGCCCATGGAGAAACGTGCCCCTACGCACACACACACACAATGGTACCTCTTTGTTTTCTGGAATCAGCATGGCAGATCATGTTTCTCATGATGTGTATCTAGCAATCTGTTTTGTATTTAGGTTCAAAAGAAATGAACGGCAGAAGTGACTGCACTTTGCACTGTAGAGCAGGGGCGAGACTAGATGACCTCTAGTAAGCCGTCCTGAGTGCTTGTGCAGAAGGACGGGATACAAATGTTTGTAATAAAATAAATCTCCATGGTACCTTCCAACTCCACAGTTCTATGAGTGAGACAACAGAGTAAAGATTTTAGTATCTTTCATCTCTGCATTAGCTGTGCAGGTTCCATTTAAAGGAGGAGGAAATCGGTGTCAATATTTTTTCCAACATTTACATTAACATGTATGTTTTATCCTTGACCTGGGAACTGTTTCACTCTTTTACCTTTTCTTTTCTCCAAAGCTGGGAGCGTTCACTCTCCTTCCACAAGCATGGCAGGTTCAGGACAATATAGACAACTTATAAATGACTACGGACCCCCATCTTTAGGCTACACGCAAGGAGTGCAGGTACAAAAACCCAAACAGTTGTAACTTCACATTGGGATGTTGCATGATGTTTTATGAAAAGCAGTTGGTTTTGCTTTCATCCAGTAAATGCATCGATGAAAATAACTTAGTTGTCTGAACTTAAGTCATATTTTGAAGTGAAAGTGTTAAGACTGGGAGGCTGTGCGGTTTGAGAAGATAGTTCTTGCGGAGCAGGCGCAGGACTTACACTGCAGTGCTGCTTATGTTTACTGAGAAGTCAGTCCCACTTACTCTGAGATAATTGGGTATGGGACCTTTAAGGGGTCATGTGCCTCTGCTAATGAGTTTACTTGAACCCAGATGGGTTCCGTCTTCCACCCACCTGTTATGAGTAGTCTCACTATCCTTGCAGAAGAGAGGTGGGTTTTTAATAGGTTTCCAGAAACTTTGCAAGAACTTGATTTAGGTGAAGAATATTTGCTAGGAATTAAGGAACAGGCTGCCTGTTCGTATTCAATTTGAGAGGCAAGCTCACAAATTCTTCCTCACAAAAACCCAGTCCTGGTTTCCACCCTGCAAAAGATTTGTTTTGCACTAATTTAACAGAAAAGAGCTGTCGGGAGTGTTGTTGCTGTCAGAATATTAGAAGTTGGGAATCCTTGCTAATCTATTGCAGATCAGAGAGGCTTGCACCAGTAGATCCTAATCTGTCGTGTGCCCATTTATTATGTACACAGAGAATCTGAAGATAGGACAGCTCTCTGCCCCAGGAGCGACAATCTAGAAGGAGAACAGTGAAGCAGGGGCAAAGGAAAACAAAAGAACTTGTTACCTGAGTTTATACGTATGTTGATTTAGCTGCAGTATAGCATGGAGACTAGAGGGGAGGATATGAAAGACTCAGCTGTAACCTAGATTTCTTTGAAGCAAGTTCAGTGGTGTTTACTTCCTGGTAAACTGCAACTTAGCGAGCACTGAACATCCTTCCTTAATTAAATAGTTTGGGCTGAAACCTGGTACTTACCTGAGCAGATGCCCCAATGAACAGAGTGAGACTTACCTTTAATAAACACACGCTGTTTTATACCAACAGGCTTCACACAACACAACAAGCCACCTCTGGGTTATCGTGCTGTGTGAACCATGTCCGTCTCCTTCTGAGATGCCTGCACTCATCCATTTCAGGTCATGTTTCGTGTCTTGATGAAAACAAGGCCAGCCTAAGTCACTTGCGTTTTCTTCCTGTCCACAGGGAACTAGCAGCAGCCAAGTACCACAGAGCAAATATGCAGAACTTTTGGCCATCATAGAAGAATTAGGAAAAGAAATTAGGCCTACCTATGCTGGAAGTAAAAGTGCCATGGAAAGGCTAAAACGAGGTAAGAACACTAGCGGCCTGGCCGTGAGGGTATGTTTTCAGCTGCAGTACTTTTAACAGTGGAATGAGGTTTCTAGTCTACAAGATTATGCGTAAAAGTTTAAGAACACACAAATCATGTCTTATAAAGGTCATTTGCAAGAACCATCCAGACTTTTAGTAGCTAAGTGCTTCTACCATGGGCTGAATCCTAGAAAATGGAGGGGCTGGAAAGCTATCTTGTCCCAGCCAGAAGCAAGTTATTTCCCTTGCAATGGGCACGATCCAAGCAAAAGAAAGCCCAACCAAGAGTGAGCTGTGGGTACAGTAATATGTAACACTCTGTATTGCAGCATTAATTTTCTACTTAGAGATTTTTAATGCAAAGGAACATTGAAAAATGTGATTCCATGCCCCCTCTCCTGTAGCCTGGAGCTCCTGCACTGACCACATTTGAGGTGTCCGTTATCTCATGACCAACTGACCAGTTCATTCTGCTGCATTCACAGCAGACCGAATGGCAACTGCCTCTGTATACACTACCTGGTGAAGGCTGATGGGTGTGTGTGTGTGTGTGTGTGTGTGTGTCCAGATGGGGTGGGAAGAATGTACGTTTGAGCGAGTGCTTTGGGGTGGGCAGTTGGAGTCGTCTGGGACTGGGTTTCTATTGCACAGAAGTAGGTCGTCAGTGTCCTACCCCAACCTGATTCTCGTGAGATTTTTGCAGCTTCAGAGCCCAGGGAGTAGATGCCTTGAGCCGATTTCTGTTTCCCAGGTCTGCCCCTCCCCACCTCTCTCAGGCTGTGCCCGATTGAGGGCACCATCCTGCAAGTGGCAAGACCGGGGTCTTGTACTGTTGTTTCTCTGAGGTGGTGCCTGGCAACCTGGCAAGGAAGGTCTTAGGCAAGGATGTGGGTGCTGTGCAGGAGTTGGGATCCGAGATCTCACCTGGTTCCTAGTTACCAAATTCTGAGCAGCTGGCACGGGCTTGGTGCCTCTGAAGTCTGTTCCACTGACCCCTCATCCTCTTACGGTTGCTGCTAGAAATTGAGGGCATAGCCTCACCTGGCACTTTTGGCCTCCTGGGGACCATCAGCTTTAAAAGAAGTTATTCCTGTGCTGGAGTACATCAAAGCCTTCTCTGTTGATCCCAGAATGGAATTTCTGATCATCATTGGAGGCACTGTTCTGAGGTTCAGTGTTTGGATTAATGGTTTGCTCTGGTCCCATTTCTCTGGCTACCTCCAAAACACGCTTTGAAGGGGCTAGGGAGAAAATATTTTGTGGAGAATCTTACACAAGTGCTGTGTCTGTTGGTGAACAATTTCAGAACATGGAGAAACGGACGAATTTGCTGCCACAACTACTAGTGGTTTGCATGAGCTTAAATGGCTTTACAAGGGGCTTAGAAATTCAGAGAGAGAGAGCAGATGCTGGCTGTGATGGCTATGCATGATAAGACAGCACATAGGTTGAAATTTTAGGTTGGAATTTTTTATTTAAATAAAAACATACTACTTCATGATTTTTCGAGGTATCTGTTGAAAGCCAGCATTTGCCATCATGGGAAACGGGATACTGGGACAGCAAGGCTTTTGGTCTGTACTAGCAGGCGTGTTCTTATGTTGAATCCCGTAAGGTATTTCTACTGCTAAAGTGCATGTGAGCTGCACCGTTACACGACGGCCATATAGGGAACTTCCTGGTGCAGCACAGCTCACTTCTCTTTTCCCTGGCAAAAGCTGCTTTCACACCCCCACAAAATAAGGATATGTGCGTGTCGTTAAGGAAAATCCAAGTTTACAGTATGTTGTTTACGTTGCAGGCATCATTCACGCGAGAGGACTAGTTCGAGAATGTTTGGCAGAGACTGAGCGGAATGCTAGATCCTAGCCTAGTCCAGGCTGCAAGGTTTTCCATCCCTTTTTACAAAAGCGAGACCACCATTTCCTCTGGAGACGGCATTCATATCTGGACAAATCCCTTAATTTGACTGTTCTACTTCTCCCTGTCCTGCGACACTGGCCGGCCTTTTCAAGATCATGGGCGGGAATCCAAAGAGCTACTTGGGAAACAGCCAAGGGGTCCTCTACCCAGCTGGCCATTTGGATTCCACCCCCACCACATCTCCCCCGTGCTGTAATGCAAACAGATTTCCAAGCTCCGCGTGGTTCCAGAAATGGTTCACTATCAAGCTTGGTGCTTGAAAGTCCAAAGTCCCCTTGGGCAAATGGAACTCATCATGGTTTTTTGGATCCTGGCCTTAGTCAAGAAGAACAAGATTTTCCGCCCTCCCGTTAAACATGAAGTTTGCAACATTGCATTTAAGTTGGGACACACCCTGAATTAGTTTGGAAGTTTTAAGAGAAAATTCCTGCATACAGAGTCCTTTCTCGACCCTGTCGTTCTTCTCCTGTCTCATGAAAGGAATCTCATAAAATCCAGTGGTTTTCAGACTGCGTTATAGGGGATGGGCACCTCAGAAGTGTTTTTGAGGTTCCTCACTGATGAGAGAGATCACGATCAGCTGACAGGGTCCCTGCCAGGCAGTTTCTGTCCCATTAGCGATCTTTGCCTACAATGGATAAGGGAGCATTAGCCATGTTCTAAGTTGCACTGTACGTCCATGAGGGATATGGGCTGGGGCTGGCCAGTACCCCACATGGATGATGTCTGAAAGTCTGCGAAAGAACCCACTTTGGAATCCTCTAAAATGTGTGAGGTTTTGTTTTGGTTTTTTTTTTCAATGGAAAAGTCAGTGCAGAAATGGTTCCTTGAAAGTTAGCAAGTTTGGAAACTATTGTTCTTAATCCCAAAATTCAGCTTGTCTCACAATTAAAGCATTTGCAGGATATGTCCACGCAGACAAAATCACCTTTTATTTTTCCCAGTCAGTGGCCTTCCTGTGCTCAAAAGGATCCCACCTTTGCATGGCCATGAGGGTTTTGGAATCCATTAAAAGTGCATGAGTTCTACAAAAACCTATCACAGAACCCCAATGGTAATTCTGCTCCCCACCAGATTTAAACAATAACTTTTCATCTTTGTATGTATTTATTACGTGATGTAATAAAGCTTATTTTCAGAACAATTCATCTTGTCAAGAGATGGAGGTCCAGTAACGCAAAAACAACACTCGAGGACGCAATCATTGGTACATATGCGGGATCCCACAAGAGGTCCAGTCTGACCTGGTGCGACTGAAGGTTAAACGATGAAAATAAGAAATGCTGAACTGAGTATCAGAACGATCAATCCATTCTGAGGACTCTTGGCCTCCCAAGATTCAAACTTCAAGCGTAGGTAGCATGTTTTCAAAACTGCTGTTATGTATCTCCTTTCCCAGCTCATCTGCTGGTCAGTTGCACTGAAGGTGTCTCCCTGGGCAGAGTGTACATAACTCACAAAAGGAAAGCCTCGGGGAAGCAGGAACAGCTTTGCCTAGCCTCCAGCTACACCAACATAAAGGGAACAGCTTGGAGCCCACAATCCTGAGTAGGAACCAAAACCTTTACAACAATTTCTGTACAGGTGCTACAGACTCTCTGAAGTGGCAGGGATCCTGCGTGCCATGGCAACTTGACAAAAGGAGAATCCAGCTAGTTGGCAGGGTAGCAGCCATGCAGCTAAGCTAGAGGACGATACTGCCTCTTCAAGTTACAGCGCTAGTGAGGTAATGCAACATTCCAACTTACCACAGGAAGCAGGCATGGGCAATTTGTGGCCCACAAGATGTTTCGGTCTGCAACTTCAATGTAAGTGTAAGGACAACTTTCAGGTGGTTCATTCTGAATGATATCACCTGACCGTGAGCCTTTTGAAAATCGCAAAAGACGCCTGCCATTCTCGGAAGAAAAAGACTGCCATGATGCCTGCCTGCAGGAGGCAAAGAGCTACGGAACCCAGCCTAGCTGTTGTGGAGGGAGGATGAGCCACAGGCCAAAACGTCCAGAGGGCAATACGCTGCCCAGCCCTTCTGTAAATAAAGCCCGAGATGCTGGCCTGACACGCTTATGAGCAACTCAGCTGGGGAGTCATACGTTTGCTCTTGGCACCTGTGCGTGCGTGCCCACTTCATGCCCGTCTCGCCTGTGGGACTCCAGCCTTCTGGAAAAAAGCAGCTGCTGCAGTGCAATGATACCGCGATTCCTGGAAGGAAAGACTACCTACAGTGCTCTGCAGAGATTCAGCTTGCACTGGGCAAAAACACCTATTTTGATGCAGGAACAATTTGAAAGGGAAGCAAGGCAGATTTATTGGTTCCACTGTGAGGCACAAGAAGAAGGAAGGAAGGAAGGAAGGAAGGAAGGAAGGGAGGGAGGAAAAGACATCAGTTTGGCAAGGCAGAGGCTGTGGAAATCCTGGCTTTGTAAATGTTCTGTAGTTCTTTGGTGCCGAACATTATGGCAGTCTATCATTGTTTAACAGCTGTCAACTGCAACACTCGTCTTTCGATCCCAAGTAAGTATTTTCAAAATGACAACTAAGAAAGTGTCAGGAAAAACACCTGGAAATCGATACTTCCCCCACCATCTACAGACTAAAACGACCTAAATCCTTATTTGCCATCCAATCTTTGCATTTCTTTTAAGTGTCTTTTCCTTTCAAGGTTCTCCTTTGCTTGCCTTCTCTTCTCCTCTTTTTTCTTCACCAGTGCCCGTTTCTCCTTCACCACCTCACTGTCTTCGCCTTTGTAGAAAATGTCAACTTTCTCCTGGAGGATCTCTCTGGCTCTTTTGCGGTTCAGCTCCATCGATCTTGTCTGATGGCACTAGAGAAAAGAAAATTAATTCAGCCGGGGGATTACAGTTTGCCCTGTCTTGAAGATTAGGAATGTTAATGCAAGCCTAGCATGATAAGAATGTAACTGAAAATACATTTGTCCTGAGACAGAAACATGGAAGAAGAGGGAAAATAAGAAGGGTCCAAAGGGGCTACAGAAGTTCCAGAGATGATTTATAGGAGCTAATCAATCAAGTGTGTGTGTATGGGGTGGGGGGGGGGGAATGCAGGAAGCTGCAAGGTACAGAAATCTTGTGTGTGGAAAGAGAAAGGCACCACTGGCTAAGTCCCATTGCTTTCCACCTTTCTCTGGACTTTGTTAGAGAATTTGGAAGGGCATTAGAGTGCAGCAGTAGCTAGTCCACATTGTGCTAAATTTTGTTGTGGGTCCATTAAGATCTTGCCGGATTCTGAGGATGTGAATATTCCACCTCCTCTAGCTGAAAGGGCGTCTTTGCCACCTGTTAAGAGGCTGCTGATCAATTCATGGAAAGCTGATTTCAATATTATCTACAGACTGTTGACTGATGTACCACATATTGGCATCTCCGAGGCATTAGACTGAGAGAATCCAATCAAAGAAGAGCCTGTTCTGTCTGATGTGAAATTCCTAGCCTGAGCTTCAGATACAGAGAATTTCAGGACTGTGATAAACACACATTATCCATATGTATTGCAGTTATCTAGGGCATAAAAGTTTCCTCTTTCGTCTGGATGTGGTTTTTGCTCACCACAGGTGACAGGAGACTAAATCTGGTACTGACCTCAGTATACATAATATGAGATGATATACAGCAGAACTTTGCAGAAGACAACTGCCCCTTGCTGCAAAAGCAGAATCAAGTCAAGTGCGTCACCTTTACTACAATCCCCGAGGGAAGATGCTTCAGGATCACACAGTTGTTGGTTTTATTCGTCGCTTGGCCTCCAGGTCCAAAGCCACGTACAAACTGTTCCTGCAGATCTGCTTCATTTAGAAGAAAGAGGTCGGTAGAGTTCTTCTTTCCTGCTTCAAGGAGCAATGGTCCAGGCCACCGGGGCAATAAAAAGCGCTGCTTCTCCCAAAACACTAGTGTCCAAGGGAAACCGCTCGATCTGGTCAGCGAGTTTGCCCAGAGCAGTAAACTTGAAGAAGGCATTTAAAAAAGACAGACAGACTAGGATTCTTCTAATCCTGGAAGACAGCTCATTGATGCAAAGGGGGCAGAGGCAGAAAAGCATCCATTAGTAGCATTCCTTAAAGATGGCTTAAGGACAAAATGACACAACAGTCAGCCCACTCTATGGCACTGTGGCTTTGTGCTTTTGGGCGGGGGGGGGGGGGGGGACCTATCTATTTTTTGCCAGCAACTTTTTCATGTGGAATGCCAGCTGTCTGTTTTCATTAACTCTGCTGACTTAGCATTACGCAGTTACATTCCAGGCTGACAGGGGTGGATTTACTGTTGAAAGAAGTGATATAATGTCTGGCAATTTAACCCCACCCTTGCCACCAAATGACACACACATGGCATGGAATGTGGGTGGGACTGTGGCATCGTTAGCACCCCACCAGCTCCTCCAAGGCTCCCCACTGGCTGAATTCCTCTCCCGTCCCTCCTGCTGCTCCTCAACCTGTGCTACCATCTTGCGACCCAATGGTACAAGGCACTTTTCTACTGCCTGAACTGGTGAATCTTTTCTTGAAAAGCAGAGGCACAGAACGGCCCAAGAGACAACGGAAAACCAGCTATGCCAGTTTGTTGCCTTGTTCGTTAAGAACATAGCCACTATGTATGATTAAAGGAAGCCTAACAGCCAGCTGGACTCGAGCCACTGTGCCAACACAGTCCAGATGAAATTTTGACAGTGCCGTATGTTATGAGCAGACAGATCAGGCAAATCTACCAGTGTGTGTACAGGTACCAAATTTTCCAAATGATCAGAGTGCAGAGGCTTTTCGACTCTGGAAGAAGAGGCCAGAACAAAACAGATCCTGAAGGAAGGCAATACTTTATTGAAAGAATTCCTCAGAACTGCTGAAATCACTGGCATGCAGAATACACTAACAGTAAGTTTGTTTTCATCTCTGTATGAAAACAATCACTTGGTGGCACTAGCAACCGAGGAATGGGGGAGGACGTCACTGTGACTATCCTTACAAAAGCAGAACTTTTGCTATCCTAATGCTGAGGAAGTCACTTCTTCCATGAGGCTTGCAGGTTACAACTTGGACAACTGCATTGTACCTTTATGTTTCCTGACGATGCAGCAGAATGGAGTCGGGGGCTTGTTTGCCCTTTTTTGTTGCCCCATTCCTCTGTAATAAGATCCTAGGTGTATAGGTAGGCATGGAAAAATGTACCAAGAGCCAAGAGAGATGGGAAACATTGCACACCAAGTACATACCTCTTTCTTGGGTTACTATGCATAAAATCAGCTGAATAGGCCAAATGATTTAATCTGCCAATAAGGAAACGTTTTTATGGAAGAGAAGCAAGCCTTGCCGCCATTAAGAAAAAGTTTCAATCAGGTTTTTTTTAAGGGCAAAATAAGCAATTTTAAAGAAATATTGGAATAATGTAAAAGTGCATTTGACTTTAAAAAAAACCAGAAACCTTTCATCTGCAGTGCAAAGTCACAATGGAAGTATACCTTTGAGGGCAAAAAAATTAAAGGGTATTTTAAAAAATAAAATCCATGTCCATTTAGTTCTGGAGGTATCATCTGTTTCAACAATCTGTTCATGATACTGTGCTCCCTCTAGCCCCTGAGATGCTGATGCAAAGCATTTCCAGTTCAGAGATAAGCTTTCTGGAGAAACACCCTTATGTAACAGCACACCTCCAACAGCTGCAGCATGAAATTCAGGCTATTTATTGCAACTGCACAGTCTTCTGGGTGAAGAGGCATTTCCAGTGTGTGTGTGTTTTTTTCCCCATCCTCCAGTTTCACTCTGCAGTGAAGTCACAATCCACTGCTTGCCATATCAGTTGCCAGGCAATTAATGTAGCAGGGAGAAAGTATTCAGATCATGACTTCCACAGCAGGATCTATTAGGAAGGCTGTGCTGCATTGCAACCGAGAGCAAGATTAAACCCGCTCTGCCAGCCATTCATGATGGCAGAGAACAGAAGTCGTCTTTCTCCTCTAGTATTAGGGATTCCAAAATGGGAGGCAAGGCAGAGGGCCATATAAGCAGGTAGGGGTGGTTGTCAGGGAAAGAGGGAAAAACTCTTCACTGCCTCTTCTAACATAACTTTGGCTTTCTTGGCTCAACTGCTTTCTCTCTGAGCAGTAGAATCAAGATGGACACATCCTCCATCGCTTATGCCAGCCTTCTCCAAGCTGTGCAGTGGCTCCTGATGTCTTGCACTGCGACTCCCATGACAGGAGATGCACTCCAAGGCATCTGAGGGCACCACCTTAGGGAGGGTCAACGGATGCTCAAGTAGACCCGTCTCCATGTTGCAGCACTGAGACAGCTGTCCCCACTGGGAGTTCTTGTCCCCCTTCTGGTTTTACACCCAGAAGGCAAGCAAAACGGTGCCCTCCAAGGTTTGTGGCCCATCTTTGTGGCTTCCAGTTCCGGCCTCTGCGGTGAGGGACGGGCTCCTGGCTTCCACCCCGCAGGCAAGGCAGCGGCAGCGCCCTGGGGGGCAATCCTGCCTCCTCGCCTGGGGCCCAAGAGCTGCATCAGGACCCGATCTGGGGATCTGGGCACAGGAAGGAGAGGGGAAGGTAAGGCCCCGGGCTCCACCTGCAGGCATTCCCAGGTTTCTTCCCCAGGCTGTTTCAAGGACCGCGGACCCGGACTCCTGGGTCCTGGCTGCGTGGGGGAGGGGCAGAGCGCCTGGATTCTCCTCCGGCCGTTGCAAGACTCCCCCTCTATGGCCGAGTCCCGACTGCCTGCCACTTCCGCCCTGATCAGAGGGAAATCCGACGCTCCGGTAACTTTCTTACCTCCCTATTCAGGGCAAGGTAGGTCGCGTTGTACAGAAAGGCCTCGATACTGACCCTTCTGCGCATGCGCTCGTATAGTACCTTTATTGACAGTAGGGCCCGGGGTGGTGGGGGGAGGACACCCTCCTCTTAACCCCCAATAGAACGAGTCCCCTTCCCCAAGGACCAATCGCAGAGCCCGACCCTTGCGCGAGGGCCGGTTCCTCCCTCGCGGCCCTATCCTCGTCCAGCGGGCTCGAACGGCGCGAGCTCGTAAGGCCCAATGGCCACGCAGCCCTGCCCCCCCGCTAGACTCGCCCACGTCGTTCCCCTTCACCGGCCAATCGCGGCGCGAGGACGGCCCCGGGGCAGCCAATCGCCAATCGCGAAAGGCTGCTGCGCAAACCCTTTGCGACGGCCTGCAAACCTTCGAATCTCAACCGCCAATCGTATGGGGAGGCCGCTGCGCTCGGGCTTGTTTACCATCCGGCGTTCGCCTGAGGGGCTAGAGGCGAGGAAACCTTTCTTTTTCCTGCTTCCTCCGTGTGTCCTGCGACTAGGCCCGCGAGCCGAAATGCAGGTAAAAGGCCGGGAGCCCCTCCGAAGTAACGGCTTTCGCTGCTGTGCCTGATGGGAGGGAGAGGGGAGGTTTTACTGGGCCCGCTGTGTCCTCAATTCCAGCACCGGTTACGCCCCCAAATCCTGGAGTGACGTTTTGGCTAGCCAATCAGCGGCCGGCCTACCTGTCTCCCTTTTGCAATGGGCCATTAAGGATGGGGGAAAGTGGAAGTGGAGACCTGGGCTCGATGGGGAGCGAGGAGGAAATTCTTGGGAAGTGAGGCTGGAAAGAGACATGGATTCGTCATTCGGTAGCCCTGGCGGGGAATTATGGCTTAGTCCCGCCTTCTGTACTTGCAGTGCTCCCAATCCTGGCATGTCCAGGGAGTCGTAATCCAAAGCTCCTGGAGGGCACCAGGTTGACGATGGGCTCGTGATTATACGGAGGAGGTGGGTGGGTTTGAGTTCTTCCCCTGCCTCAAAACCCCATTGGATCAATTTAAGTAATACAGCATGTTTCAGCCTAGTCTAATTCACAGGGTTGGTAAAAGAAGGGGAAGGCCTTAGATGTTTCCTTGAACTCTTTGAAAGGAGAATAGGGTTTTAAAAAGAAAAGTAGTAGTGAAAAAGAATTGGGATGTTACGGTGGTGGGGGAAGTTGTGTAATTGATTTTGTAATTTCTGTAATGTAAGTGTGAACATTTTCTTATTTTTTGTATAAACTGATTTGGGTGTCCATCAAGATAGAAAATAACTAGCAGCAGATAAAGAGATAAGAGATAGGGGAAGGGACTAAAGAGAGAGGCTAATAAATGAAACGCCTCAAACATGAGGTGCTGTAAGATAAATAGGAAAATGAAGAAACTGTTTAGGACACAGTGCAAGAGAAGTTGGCTGGAGCGTGCTGAGAGTTGTAGGTTTCCTCCTAAACTTGCATAGGATTGTGCCTTTAGAGGTTTACAGTCTAAAGAAGAATTTACTAAGCTGGGGAAATCAAATAAGTAATATCAGTTTAAGAAAGCAGAAGAGCTGATATTTTGGAGGTTGCTAAGGTAATGTATATTGTAATGCTTAATGATTATATTTTTGTTTAAAATACTTCATTTAGATAGTTTCCATCATCTTTAAAACAACCATATAAATAATTTGTCATTCCTTAAATAATCCCCTAAGGAATGTCAGTTCCCTTACCCTCCGCATGTTATAGGTGGGGCTTTGAAGCTGAGAGGCTTGCCCAACCATGTATTTTGTTCATTCAGAAATACATTCCTTGGAATTTTCTCTCAAGAGTGAATTATTTTGCATTAATTAATTACCTCAGTTTGCTCTTGTGATGTACAGTCTTGATGCTTTTAAAATGCTCTAGTTGTATGCTTTTAATGACATTCTCATGGGTAGAATTAAGCATGACAAGACAAGCAGCAGCTGTAGTTAAAGATAGTTATAGAAATAATGATCACCATTTCTTACATTGTGTTCTTTCTTTCAGTACTTTTATTTGCATATTCACACAAAAGAAAGCCCCATTGTGTTCAGTAAGACTTGCTCTTGTGCAGTTAGTCATGCTTAAAGCATTTGAAATCAGAAAGATTAGGTCCTCTTCTCAGAGGTCTGGACTATGTTTAGGATTTCAAACCTTGCTAAATCTCCATATTTCTAAATGGAGAGATACAATGTGTGTGTATCTAATGTGTCTGTGCAAAAATGCCCAAAGGCCTGGTACTGCATTGTCCCCTCATTCTTGTCAATGACTCCACTGAAGAGTAGTTGGATTAGATACTTGGTGATAACTCTGAGGTCTAGAATAGGGTGGGTGATTGCACTGTAAATGTTCTGTAATCAGTGGTGCCAGTCAGTTAATCAGTTAAATGGCGCAGCCCCCTCTCTGCCTTTTGCATTTGCTTTCCTCTCTGACATGGCACAGTACTTTTCAAGAGAGTGGACTTAGGCCTGAGACTGCTGCTTACGAGTCCTTAGCTGGTGAAGTGCTACTGTTTGGCTCACTTTTTGAAGGGACAATTTGAAATTCAGGGAAAGTAGTTAGGTAGAAAAACAGAAGAGGGGAAAGTATAGGAGAAACAAAAGCTTCAGGTAGGGGAGAGGCAATTTCTTTAGATGGTGGTCTGGCCATCAATGGGAAAGTTCTTTTTCAAAGGTGTTTGTGCCTGAGTGACTTGTCATAATTTCTCCCTCTTCACTGCGATGATAAATTGAGTTGCTTAGTTACACATTTGAAGAAAAGATTTTTAGTTATTATTGCTGTTTCCCTATACAGGATTTTATATAATAAAGCTACATAATGGAGCAATACATGAGTTCGTCCATGCTGATTTGACTGACACTGATCCTTTCTTGGCTAAGTCAGCAAAGCAATTTCTTATGCATGTTACGATGCTTTTTCTTTAAGAAAAACATGGATTTTTTTTCAGGTCGTATTTCTTTGCAATCATTCCTATGATCCCACTGTTTCCCCACCCCCTGTTTTGACCCCTAATATCTGAACCTAAATAACCTCTCCCCATCTTGTTTTTCTAATATAATGGTAATGACATGACTGTTTGTTACCTATTGTGTTCAACAGGGCTATATATGTTTTTTTTCTGCTCCTGTTATTTTTTTGGAGGTATAGGAAAGGGTAGAACGCTTTTCTTAGTAAAACTAACTTAAAGGATTTTCACGTTGTTCCTTTTATATTTTAATTTCTTAGTCAAGCTTATGTTCAGTGCTTTTATTTTATATATTTTGGAAAGAAAATGTTAAATTGCAGAATTCTTTTTAAAAAATCTAACAACTTTTAAAGGAAAATCTTAACTGTGCTGGGAAAATAAACAGAGGAGGGAGTACAAATAATTCATGCACAAGGAAATGGGGAAAGGAAGAAGTAGGTCAAGCATAATGCACTGAAAAATGGTTATTTCCTGGTATTTCAATGTGGTCTTGTAAGAACTGGGAATTCTCTTTTGTTGATAACATAGAATTGGGTTTGGATTTGACTGCACTGGTAAACAATGTGAGTGGAAAAGCAATGGGGGAGTGTTATTGATGTCCATGACCGGTAGAATTGTACCCATGAATTTGAACCTAGGAATATGTGTATATATTGTCTCTGGCGATGTTGACTGGTCAAGAGAATGTAGTAAGAACCAGTGGGGTGTAAAAGGAGGAATGGATCTGATTTAGGGAACCTTTTAAACTATTTCTCAGCCTCATTTATAGAATGAAAATAGTAACTATGTTCTGCTACTTTGTTTCTGGATTCACTCTCTTTGGTAAGCACAGCTACTTAATCCTAGCCATTGTATGTTAAAAATGAGAAATAGTTGGCCAGATTCGGTCAAGACGCAGCTTAGTTTTTATGTCAGAAAATATTCTGTAGCTTTAAAGATGAACTTCTGAAATGTAGGTTCCACAAATGCCCAGTGAGATTCTTTGTTTTCAAACAGTGAACCTGAGTTACCTTTTTGATATAAGTACGTTCTGTCCTTTATTTTTTGTTTGTTTGAAAGGATAACTACAGTCTTTGCAAGCATGAGATATGGAAAATCCGGGCTTGGTGAAAATTGAGCAAGAGTCCTGTTCTGTAGACATTGATACCAGAAATGCTCGAAACTCTCTTGACTATCACTTAAATAATAACAGGTAAACATGAGATACTGCATAATTTATTTAAAGCATTTCTTAGCAGCAGCCTTTCAATATCTGATTTTTGCATAGCCAGACTTACCTAAGCTGATGCAACCCTGTTTGAATCTTTTAAAACTCCAGGTAAGAATCAGCTTGAAAGAAAAAAAAGGGATGTAGCTTTTTCAGGGTTCATTTTTCTCCACTTTGATATATATGTGGAAAATGCTATATTATTATTTTAATAATTAATTACTATTTTTATTTACATTTGATTTCTCTCTCCCTACTTTTAGAAGAAACTAAGAGTGGTGGAGAAGGAGTTCATAGGAGGATAAATCTGAAGGGGCTAGTGCTTATGTTTGCAGCTGCTAAATTAAAGAAGATTTTGAAGTGTATGAAAGGAAAAATGCACTAGGAAAAGGATCCTCTTAGGCATTTCTGTAACTCTCAAAACAGGGCACCTAAGTCAAAAATCTAATATAATACATCTCATTTCAGTAATGGCTGTGAAGCACACAGTCACGTACTTTCCTAAAGGTTAGTTTTCCTATTCATCTAGGAATTCATATGAATGGATGCAATAATACAAAAAGAATTGTACATATGTGATTATACTATAATTCTCATGGATGAGCAATTCATTCTCCAGGGTTTGGAAACTCTTTAACCGCTTTGTGGGTTGTGCCAAGTACATTTTCTGTAGACTCTACTGTCTTTTTATTAAGTGCAAAGAGAGTTGGATTTCTAGGCTTGCACTGTAGACACTTCTTTGTTTTGATGTTTGGCTCAATTAATAATTCACACAGTTTTTCCCAACAGAAGCAGCCCCTCACCCAGTCCAAATGGCATCTCGAGTTACTCAGGGAAAGCTAGCCCTTCTGTAATATCTGGCGAGGCTGATCAGCTGCCTTCCTTCATGCAAGACATTCAGAGGAGTGGAGACTCAGAATTATTGAACTGTGAGGTACGTAATTTTTTAAAAAAATGGGTTCTCAATGCTTTATGAACACTTAAACTGTATACAAACCCATGAAAGTGTTCTATTAAGAAAAATTGTATGCCAGCCTGCATGTCAGAGGCAGCCCTCACTATGTGAAAAACTGTATTTTGTTAATTTGCCAAGGGTATGCTCTGCAGCCCTGTTTCAGGTTGGTCCATAAGAGGCTGTTTTATACTGAGGTAGATGAATGGTCAGTCTAGCCCAGTACTGCCATATTGGCAGACAGCAGCGTATACAGAGTGAGGTCTTTCCCTCTTTTACGCCGCTATAAAAGAGATGTAAGTCAAACCCTTCTGTGTGCACAATGTGTTCTGCCACTGACTTTGGCTCCTTCCAAGTGCCATGTCTGAGATCCAAGCTTGCCAGAGAACCTGGATATCACATGGTTTAGCAGGTGTCCCACCATGGCCAAAGCCACCATATCTGATCAGAATGCTACCAAGCACACCTGGCGAGCCTTGTCCACTTTCAAGGGGTGCTGTCAGGATGCATCTCTCAGCCAAGGGTTATCTCTACCGTTTCAGCCAGTTCCAGCAGCGTTGATGCCCCTATTTCAGTGCAAAGCTGCGTGTGGCTCTGCATTGTACTTTCTTTTATGTATTTAAAACGTTTCTGTGCCCCTCCTCAGCCAAAATGTCATCTTAAGTGCAGTCAGATCTGAAGAGATGCAGCACTCAAAAGAGGATAGATGGGGTGGGAAGAAGAAAAAATCGAGTCTGCTTTCCGCAGCCTGCTGGACTGGCCCTGCTTTGCCTCCCTTTCCCATCCGTACAACTTGCTGGAATGGCTGCTGGTGGACACTTATGCTTTAAAAGTGAGAATCTAAATTAGCATCTTTATACGTTGCCAGATGTTTCAGCCTTTGCAACAGGAAGACTTAAATGCCCTGAAGCTACAATCATGCTTCAGATTGAAGTTCTCACTTTTTCTCCTATTTTTGAAAATGATCATTCCATACTGAGCTGCTTGGAGCACTGCAGGGGTCTTGGGCAAAGGTTAACTTATCAGATGGGACTGCTAGACAGCATGGTAGATTCCTCGCCAGTGTGTCTGGAACTGAGCCCCTACTGAGCTAAATGGAAAATAAAAATGAAGAAGGAAATGTTTTTCCCCAAAATGCTGTTATTTTTAATAGGCCGGGTGGTTACAATTGTTCAGACTGGTGGAGAAACAATGCCAAGACCAGATAGCTGCCCAGCAGAAAGATTTCTGTCATCAGATCCATGTAAGTATTTTGGTTCCCTCAACTATTTTCAGTAGAAATAGTGGTTCTCAAAAGTGTCAGGTTCATATTGCTACGGAGGCATGCACAGCTGCCAAGGATACTGATGCCGCTTCTCCCTGCCCCACCCCCAGTACATTAGTGGTATAAAATGATACCCTGATTTAGCACAGGGATCTGTGCATGCATCTTTAATAAATACAGGTGCAGGGCGAAACATACATATAAGCACTTGTCCTTATGTTAACAGTATGAAATTAAATTTTCTCATTTTGCTATCTCATAAGATCTAGAATAGTTCTGTCAATTGTAGTCCAGAGGAAGAAGCCAGCTAATTGCCTTTCGTAGAGGTCCTTACCGAGGAATAATGGTACATTTTCAGCCTCAGGGATTTCCAGTTGTGTAGAAGTGTGTGGAGCTTATTGTATCACTGCCACTATGAATATGTCAGGAAAAGTATTTAAGTTCCTATTAAGTTGCAAATATTGAGACATTAGCTCTCTGCACAACTGAAAGCCCATTTCAGATTCACACACACACATATATATATATATATATGTGTGTGTGTGTGTGTGTGTGTGTGTAGCCAACTGTTTTGGGATTTTTCTAATCTGGAGTGTAATATGTGGACACTATTAATAAGCATAGTTTCCCTTTCTCAGAAACTTAAATTCTCCCTCCCACAGTAAAATCAAAATATTCATCTGTGTCTGTATGTGAAGTAGCTATATGATAAGTTTGAAATGTATATATTTGGTACATTTTAATATTTACATCCTTTTGGTCACTTTCTCCCTTTCCCGATGACCCTCTCAACTAATAGTAACCAACAGTTCCTGAAACTGAAACAAATAACAAAGAGGTATTGTTCTTTTTTGTTCTCTTTCCTTTTCCTGTTTCCTTCTTACTCCCCCCCCCACACGTCTCTCACCTTTTATCATTCATGTTCTTAATTCTTCTCTGTGTATAGATATCTAAAGTCATGTGTTGCTGTGGAGAACCCTGACTGCTCATTGAGTGATGGTTCTGGGGTTGTTCATTTTCAAAACTAACCCCATGAAAGGGCTGTTGCCTGTTTCAAATTTGCCTTTTCCAATTCACTAAAGCTTTTGTGAAGAATGCTGAAAAACACTGGTCACATCTGATTAGAATTTCTTAGGTTTGGAGGCTGGCAAAGCATCTTTTAAAAATGGTAAAATAAAAAGGGTTTCATTGATTGCGACTGTGTAGGAAAATGTGATAAATTAGTAATTTCAGTTTGTACTCTATATTGGTATTTGTAAGCTGTTTCTATTCATACTTGGTTCATTCCCATGATGCTGGAAAAGTGCTTTGTTTTTTAAGCTGCATTTCACAGGAAGATATAGAAAAGATGTAAAATAAGATAATAAAAACTTTCATATTGCAAGTGCAATACTGGTTGCTAAATCTACTTTAGCAATCACTTGTTTACGTCAGTGCTTCTTTTGGAGGCTTGTGACATCTGCTTATAGGCTGCCCCCAACATCTGGGAGAGGTAGAAGGAACTGGGCCTTAGCTTTGGAGGGAAAAGATGATGCATACGAATTATAGATACTTATTTCTATAACTGTCTTACAGGTGAAGTGGTCTGGGTGGTTTATGTAGTCCATAGTAGATGGATATTGAGTCTGTTTTGGAGACAAGTGTACAGAGCAAATTGGAGATGGTTAATTAGCTTGGTGTACCTCCAAGTTTGTCTATGGATTTCCTTTCAATGTTACATTCAACACCCATAGTCTGAAATCTGGTCATAAACGTTTAGTTGGATCAGCCCTATCGGGTGACTGACTAACCTTCTTGGCCAAAGAGCTTGCCAGATGAAAGTAAAATTCAGGTCACCATGTTTCACTGAAGTTTTTTTGAGATGATGCCATTGTTTTGTGTTTGCTGCAAGGTTGCATTAGAGTTCTAATATCAGTGTAGCCAGGCATTGCTGGATGTGCGCACACACGTGTTTTGACGGTAAAAGTTGAGCAACCGATGGGTTATTCATCTGTGTCCCATAACACATTTCTGCATGTTGTGTCTGTATGTGAAAAGTCTTGCAGCAGTTGCAGTGACAAAATGGCAAAAATTGACTCTTGTGCAGCTCTCTGAAATTCTTCCATATTTCTTTTCTAAAAACTTGCCATTTTTCTTCGTAGCACATACAGAATGAAATCAGGCAGTTGGTGAAACAGCAGAACCAGCATGTGTGTTCATGCACGAAGCGACGCTCTCCAGGCAAACTTAAAAGCAGTTTTTCTTCATTAGAAAGTCCGATGGGGTTGCACTCTGAAACCTTTGAAGAAAATGAGCTCTTTGCCGACCAGCTCAAGTGCAGCAACACGGAGAGTCAGCCAGCAGCATCGGCCGTGCATCAGGAGTGCCTTGCGAATAGTGTTTCGATGAGCAGTGGGTACGGCACCTATTCCGCTGTGGAAATGAGTCCCGGCAAATGTAAAGACATTCAGATGTGCGTGGAGAACACAGAGGAGGTCACCAAAGGCCAGAAGGCTGCATCATCCGTGCAGGAGAATTTAGTCACAGCCAGTATTCAAAACACAGAGTGTAGCCAAACAACTGTAGAACATTGTCCGCTACTAAAGGATGATGATATAGTTTTTCCTGCTGAGTTTGAACATATGATTAATGAAGGTCAGTGTGGAAAAACAAATTGGTAAGTGATCAATCTTGGTGTATTTAGATTTATCTTTACGGTTAGTAAGTTCTTTGTCCAGTTTCCTGCTCCTCAGCTAGTAATTGCTGCACATATTTGCCGGATAACATGCATTTGAGTTTATTTAGATATTTTAAAGGGTGCATTCCTCATTCTGGTGGTATCTGAATCAATGTTGCTGATGCAACGTTATTCAACAGCATTCTGGGCCTCCTGAAAAGTTCTCAGATTTGTTTTCTGAATAGGCAGAAATGTTGCCAGCGTGTGGCATTTCCCTGCATTTCAAATTCCTGACGCACACTAGTAGCTGCATCGCTGTCAAACTGTGAGGAGTGGGACACAATAGGAAGCTGCTTTATGCCTAGCCCAGGGGTTGGCAACCCACGGCTCCGGAGCCGCACGTGGCTCTTGAACTCCGCCGCTGCGGCTCCGTCGCTCAAAACGCACGCCGGCACAGCCGCCAATCTGCTCGAAGCTCCGCTCAGGAATGCAGCCGATTTACTGGGCTTCCCCCCACCCCCGTAGGCCAACCATGGATAAATCGAAGAAAAGAAACGTTTCTGAAGAAAACCAAACGTTTAATGATAAGTGGGTAGATTCATTTGCTTTTACTGCTGACGAACTTGTGGGGTTTGCTGTTTAATGCATGCAGTCCGTTAGCACTGACTTTGACTCTTCAGGAAGCTGTTCTCCTATTCAAAATATATGAAAGGAGTCCTACTAGTTTATAATGTAAGATTAAAAATAAGTTTTTAGTGACTGAACAAGAGCTGCAGCTAAATCATAATGAAGATATACATAGCATTAAGGTAAAAAACAATATATGCAGTGTTATCTTCATTTTAGATGTCAAAAGGGTTTTGTGGCTCCCAGTTATTTCTTTTGTGTGGGAAACGGGTCCAAATGGCTCTTTGAGTGTTAAAGGTTGCCGACCCCTGGCCTAAACCACCCGTCGATCCAACGCTATTATATATGCTGACTGGCAGCATCTCTCTGTGTTCTGGACAGGGGTCTTTCCCAGCATTTCCTGCTCTCCCAACATACCACTGAGCTACAGCCCCTTTCAACAGACCAGACCTCCCCAACCTGGTGCTTTCCTGATGTTTGGGATTATAGGTCCCAGCATTCCTGACACTTGAGGTTGATGGAGATTGAAGCCCACAACATCTGAAGGAACTTGGGAAAGGCTGCTGTAGATTACCTATATGGACAGCTTCGGTCTTGCTCTCCCTAGAGCTTCCAAGGAAAGAAATTATTACGTTATTCCTTTTGCCCTGGAGGAGCTTAACGATTTTATTTTTCTATTGCATTTCTATACTGCCCTATACCCCACAGGTCTCTCAGGGCTGTGTACAGTTTAAAACATATACATAACAATAGCAATCCATATGTAAGAAATGTACCTAAAGATACAGAATCCAAGTATGAACCCCTGCTTCAATAGGTTTGTCCCGCAGTAAAGAGGTTGGTGTGAGAAATTCCTTTAGTGGTGGATGAACTAAAATGTGATAGTTTTTGCTTATTCTAGTGTATGTGGCTTGACCATTATTTTTCAGGGGTGCATTTTCACCATATCATTCGCCGTTTCACTGACAGGAATGAACTGTGCGTGCACATTTATTTCCAAGGCAGCAGCAATGGGAGTCTGTGGTTGTTCGCTAAGAGTGCCTGCGTGCACACACACAACAGGCATCTCCAAAGTGAACTGTTCGGTCATCTGTGCCAACAGGGCTCAGAAGGGAGTGGGAACCTATGCAAACAGTGGCATTTTCCCTAGCCTGTGGCAATAGCAAAAATGCTACTTATACCCCTGCATAGAACTACTGATGGCTGAAAGAGGGAAGATGAATGACAAGAACCTAAATATTTTTAAATACATTAAAGGTATGCATTGTGTAGAGAAAGTATGAGGATTTCTCTGCCGCTTCCTTCTCTCACTTAATACTAGAACTTAGGTCATCCAGTGATATTGATTGATCGGCAGTTGATTTAGGACAGCTGAAAAAGTCCTCCACAAGGTACAGAATTAATGTAAGGAATTAGCTGCACCAGGGTAAGGTAATAGTCACTAGCTTAAATGACTTTGAAGGACAATTCGATAAAGGCCTAAAGGGTAGGTCAGCTGGTTGTGCAGATCTCTATAAAGGGTTAGTAGGCCACTGAATACCAGTTGCTCAGAGGCAAAACCTATGGCCTTCATGGCCTTCCTAAGGGCATTTGACTGGAAATGTGATGGTAGAGTATTTTTTCTGCATTTATCCAGCAGGACTGCACTTGGTAATACCTCACTAATACTGCACTTTTTCTCTCTCTCTCTCAGCTTTGCTCGATTTTCAGTTTCCTTACTATCAGAAGTACTCTAGTGTTGAGAGTCTGACTAAAGACAGCTTTGCGGTCCCTTACATAATTCTGAGAGGCTGTTGCTCTTAAACTAACATGGATTGTTATAACCGGATCATCAGTGTAACTTGTTACTTTCCATTGCTTTGATCATGATCACGTAAACCACAGATGCTCTGAACTGTGGGTTTATGGTAGCCCATGTACCCTGACTGATATGAACCATTCATTAGGAGCATCTGTGGGGTTCTGAGCACAAATTGCTTTTAAAATATTTTTCTGTGTTAAAGGGATCTATATTCTGATATTTCTATGATAAAATAAAAATATTTAGAAAATTTATACAATAAGAGCATGTAGATTTTAAACATTGCTCTGATATATGAGTTTCTGAAGGGTTTGAAGAACTAACAGTAAGTAGCATCTTTTCATTTTGGTACAGATCTTATTTTAACCAAATTACAGGATGTCCTGTGTTAGGCTCATGGGAGCAATTGCTTCCTTGCCAATCTCCTTTGCTGAAAACCACAATATGGAAAATCAATTTGGTGTCTGAGTTTCCTCCCTCACTTTCCAACAACGCTTTAGTCCAAGGACAGTTCAATATATGCAATACCTAGGAGGGCACAGCAAGAAACAAATCTTTAAATAAATTTAACTTGCACCACTCTGGCAAAAAAACAAAAAAAGACCAACCTCTCTCTACTTTTGTTCTCTTTTCCCTTCCTGCAGTAAATCTTTAACATCCTGGGCTCAAAAGCTGAAACAAAACCAAGTGAAGAGAATAAATGCAAAAGAAGGCGATGCTCCTTCTGTGCAGGGGGAAGAGCAGACCCAGGCATTCGCACTGGAGGATGTGAGTTGCTCCTAACCCGCTTCTTCAAAATGAACTATAATCGTTCTCCTCCATTTGGCTGCCATCCCCTGCCCGTTTACTGGCCCACTGAACTTGGGGTGGGGGGGTTACTTCTGAGTCATAATACTGGCGATTACATATCGTTCAAGGATCCAGAGAGCTCTACTTAGGCATGGCTAAAGCCGCTGTGTGTGTGCCCAGGCATATCTTTAGCGCTCCCCCTCTTTCGTCTCACAGCCGTCTTCCCTTCCCTTTCAGGGGTGGCTTGCTGTGCAGCCTGCAGTTCTGCCACTCGAGATCTGTGAACCGTAACGCCTCTTGGGTGTATGGAATTATTTGCATGGTTCTTTGGACCTTGGCTGGTGCATCAGTTCTTGGCCTAGTCAAGGACTGTACAACTGTTTCTGTACAGAGCTTATATATGCTGCAGTCATATGCTCACTTACCTCACGGTAAGCACCATTGAAGTCAGTGGTGCCTCTCAGGAGACATGTATCGGATTATGCCGCTAGGGCATGGAATCTAGGGCAACTTTGGTTAAATGGCAATAAATATTTGCTTGCATTTGTTTTCAATGTTGCTTTTGCGGTTGCTGTATACTTATTCTTTTTGTATTCTATGAGTTTTGTAACTTTCCATGCATTGGTCTATAAATCATTGGGTTTTCTCCCCTTCCTATGGAATTACAGACAAAACCTGCTGCTGCTGCTTTGCCATCTTATCCTTTTTACCTCAATCAACCACACGGAAGCCAGAATTCTTTAGTGTCTGATACGTCAGGTATAGTTAACTGCTGATACTTTCTTCTTTTGGTTACTACATTGTAAAATGCCAAACAGCTGTAAATGTTTGGCATGATTATCATTGTTTGTTGTGCTTTTAGTCCCGTTTCTGTCTGTTGCAGTAGTTGCAAAGTGTACGACCATGGGTCCAATCCTGGAAAACAAAGCAGACCTTCTAAAGATTGCAGTTCCATGCCAACTAACCCAGGAGCAAGCCCCACTGAAAATCATATTTCTGAGTAAACCTGTCTAAAGATGTGCTGTAAGTCCCATTGAGTTCCTCAGGACTTAAACAGCAGAATCCTATACGCATTTATTTGAAAATAAGTGCCCTTAAACTCAGTAGAACTGATTACCCCTGAGAAAATACGCATAGGGTTGAGCTGGTTCAATGAGTTCAATTGAACTCAGAAGAACCTCCTTTAAGAGGAATGACCAAATGACTAGATTGAAATTTGCAAGGAGTTTCAATGCCAGATATTTACCATCAAGCAGCCCTCTTGATCATCGTGCTTCCTATGCATGCTTACAGGGAGCACTGTACTTCTGTTTTTAATGACCTTGTTCCTAAATGAACCGGTGTTTTGTAAATTTATCTCAACTTAGAGGTAGCCAGCAAGACTCAACTATCTTGCTTGCTGCTTCACGGGCAGGAAGGACGTGTAACCTTGCTGTTACCTTGTAAATCGTTTCATTTTAACCCAAGCACATCATGTAGAAGAGAGATGGGAAGAATGGGAAGTGCCATTTGGTTTTAAAATTTACATTTCTAAAATGTATTACCTTCTTTCAGTATGGGTGGCTTTGACTTTTCACTTATATTTACAGCAGATAAAGTGGCGAAGTATTAAAAGGCCTGTTCGTTAAGCAGATACCATGAGCTAGTATACCCGTTTAAATCTAATACAGTGAGACAGTTCAGATGGTGATCATGTTAAAATATTGCTGAGCACAAATATCCTTATTACATTCTTGACTTTTATTCCCCTAGAGTCCTCTGCAGTATTAATACGCTATCTTTAGCATTATTTCATGTCAAAGCTTGTTACAGCTAAAGCTCTGAAGCGTAATATTTCAGACATGAGTATTTCATAAGACCAAATTTGCACCCATAATGTGAAAATCAGAAAAATTAATGTTAGGCTTCACAGCTTTCTTCAATGCAGAAATCTGTTTTTGATGTATTTTTGCTTTTTAGGACTGACATACTGGAAACTAGATGAAAAGGAGATGTACCACACTCTGCCTGAAAACCTTGGAAATGAATTTTGCACCCTTCCAACAAAAATGTCCTCAGAGCAGGTATCCTTTTTCCTTAGCCTTCTATTGCAAGAAATAAAGCAAGAGTCCAAAGTCTAAGAAACTTGTTCTGCCATAAGCTTTTGTGGTCACTGTTGACTGTATCAGGTGCACCTGATTCTTACACCAGTGGACAAAATGTAAGGGCACAAGTCTTGCCCATCACAGTTGCTGTTCCTGCCTCGGCAGGAGCAGATTTGCTTCCTCCTGACCATTGTGGTAGAATCCCATCAGCACACGGTCCCTGAGAGCTCCATAAACAAACGGCTACAGGCTCGCTCTGTCTTTAACTCAAGCTGACGGTCCTAGGGTGGTTTTAGAATATTTCTGAGTGGGCACCCCCCATGCCTTGGTTAGAGCTTCTGTTTGTAAAGACGTTCTCATTTCCCAGCCGTGTCAGGAATCAACTCAGTAGGCATCTTGGTAAAGTGAGTGAGAAAGCTCTCTTGATCTGTGCATAGTTCAGACACCACATGGATTATCACCACAGTGGTCACGTTTTCCCTCTTGGAAGCAAATATAAGTTTACCTTGGAATCTTTTCATTAAATTTAGATGCCCTGCTTAAAATAACATCCATCCTATCTGCTCTATTTTTAGCTGTCTTCTGGCGATGAGGTGAAGCCATCATCCTTAAAGGATATATATCATAAGAAACAAAGGGAAAGTAAGCAACTTCCAGACTGGAACCTTTCTCCGTTACAATCAACTCACCCCCCTGAGGTAATAGTTTTCAAACATTTCAGCTGTTTTATTTATTTGTTTAAAATTACACCCCACTTTCCCCGCTCTTGGAAGGAACCAAGGGAGCTCTCACCGTCGTCTTTGTATTTGTCTCCATTTTATCCTTACAACAGCCCTGTGAGGTTGGTTAGGCTTAGAATCAGTGGTTGGCCCAAAGGCCCCCAGTGAACTTCATAGCCAATTTGGACTAGCAGTCCAGCACTAAGCAATACTGCAGTAGTGTTTTCCCCTGCCACTGGTTTCAGCAGAAGGGGAAATGTGACAGTGCAGGGAAGAGAAAACCTGCCCCTGTCCTATTTTGGATGGAACAACTTGGCAGGGCTTTGAAGCAGGATCCATCTGCGAGCTGACTCCTCAAACCCCACCCCCAGTGTGAAGTTACAGCTGCTGTTTCCCTCTCAGCGACTTCCACATTGGATGCTTCAGTAGCAAAATGAAAGATCCTTCACTAAATAGCCGGATATTGATTTTTCAGCTCCAGTCACTGATGTTTGTTTTCCAGATCCTGACCCTTGACCCAACGCTGCATATGAAACCAGGCCAACAGAATCCAGGACTTCCTTTATATAGCTTTGATGGGACCCCGGAGAGGGTGTCCTTTTCACCAGACTCCATGGCAGATCCTGGCTTTTTTATTCATTCAGACACAGACTCGTTTTTGCACACAAGTACTATAACATCTCCTCCATCCGCTGGGTCACCAAAATACAGTTCTTATCCAAGCAATGAGATCTTAAACGTAGATGATGAAGACAACTTAACACTAACTCCATCTTCAGCTGCCCAGTCCCAGATTCCAGCGGCTGATAATAGTTTGCCAGAGTGTAGCATTTCAGTCACATGTGTGGAAGATCCTGTGGTATTTTCCAAGTAAGGCTGTTTGTGTAAGAAACTTGCTTTTTAAATAAGAATTGCAATATTCTGCTTCCTTTCCTTTCTGTTCCGTTCCTAAGGCTTTCCATTGCACATATTTGCTGGTCACCTGTGATGCGAAGAGCTTCAGCTATTGGGTGATATAGAAATTAATTCAATAATAATGATGAAATAACAATAGTACCTTCCTGATGACCAGCCAGGAAACTTAGCTAAAGTTCAGTTAATTCTTTTTTAGGCCTTAAAGCAGGGGTGGGGAACCCCGAATGCCAGCACAGTGTAACTTAAAGGCACAATCCTATGCATGTTTAGCTAGGAAAAAGTTATACGACTCCCAGCCTTCCCCATCCTGAAGAACTGCTTTTTTCCCCTGCCTGTAGGAGCATGCCTAGGAGGGCTCTCTGAAGCTCTTGCAGCTGGTAACAAAGCCTTAAGAAAGTCACTTCAACCTTTTAGAACGTGGGAAAAGTGCACAATAGCCAAGAAATCAAATGACTGGTAATGAGAGAAAAGTGGTGGGAGGAGGAATATGAAGAACGGGCTCCCCGCCCCTTAGGGTCAGATCAGGCCTGAGGGTCCCCACTCCTGCCATAAATGGCGTGCGTGGGCAGGTGGGCTAGCAAACAGCTCTGGTGGCCTAGCAAGTGTTTGTTCTTTTTTCTTCCATTGTGTTTATTAGCAACTGGGTTTCTGTTTTGCAAAGAAAGGGTAATGTGCAGGTGGCACGTCTGTTTGATTCCACCCGGGTCTGCCTCAATCATGTACGGAGCAGAGGGTGTCCTCCCCCGCCATTTTCTTTAAAATAGGGGGTGCTCAAGGGTGATAAGAGTCAAGCCTCCTTCGTGGCTTGGAAGTGAATGGCGTGACTGGCGGGCGGATGAGTAGGGTGGCGCTGGCCGTGTGAGCACCCCGTCTCCCTGTGCTAGGCATGACTGGGCCGGCCTTGGTTTAACGAAACAGAGTCACTGTTCACACTGTGTATACTTTGCTCTTCAAAATGAGCTGGAGGTTATTTTCTCTCTCTCCCTGGCCTACCAAACAAGTAGGAGTATACTTAACCACTCCAAACTACAGCTCAAGCACTATTACATGGGCATAACAAAGCCCCAGGGGTGTTTATAATGAAAAGTGACCTTGAAGGACTACAGCCGTGGGAGATTGCACTCCCCACAACTTGTCATTGTCCCTTTGGTTTATTTATTTATTTATTAAAACACTTCTATGCCGCCCCATTCGCCGAAGCCTCGGGGCGGTTCTCAGCTTCACATTTATTCTCAAACAGCAACCTTCCCAATGTGCTTTTAAACTTATTAAGTGTAGCTTGTCTTTGATCTTCTGAACAACTGCTGCTCACAAAGCCCAGCTCAAGTACCTTTCATTGATAAAATATATTGAACAAAGGAAATTTAACTGTCTCCTGCTTGGAGATGGAAGGAAAGGAACAATGTGCATGGGAAATGGAAAGCTGTTCTTTCTGCAGATCTTTCCCTATTGTAAATCAGTACAAAGTTTGTGATTGTATGCAGATGTGCATTAGACCCCTCTTATTCTCATTAAGCATTGTAATATGTAGAAAGAGGAGGTACACTCTTGAATTAAGTATAGGTGCTTTCATGTAAAAACACTGAGAAACAGATTAAGGTAATAGAAATTCAAGTATTTATTCATGTCATTTGTATGCTGCCCCTTGCATGAAGGCCTCTTAAAACAATTTAGAAATGAAGTAAGACCCAAAAAACAAGCCATAGCATTATAAGCAGCATAAACCCAAGAGCTGTTTGGATTTTATATTGTCAGTAGGTTGTGCAGTGCATCCTTGTCGTTTTCCTGAAGTGAGTGGGGTATTTCGGCACACCCATTGGCTTTGATGGGCTTTTGACTAGTTGGCTTTGAACAGCAAGAACTTCCGGTGCTGTATGAAGCTGCTCCTAAAACTCTTCTCAGTTTCAAAAGAGTGCAGAATGTGGGATGCCGCACATTTAAGAAGCACACCACTCTCAAGTTTCCTTTTTTATCTGAATAAGTTTTATTCTAAATAAACCTAATACAGACTAAAAACAACATCAGTCATCGGAAACATCGGACCTACTGGGTCAGCCCCCCCACATTTTTTCTTTTTATGTTAACTTACGAACATATTTAAATCTTTGCGAAGCCCTGTTTCTCTAGCCAATAATAAAAAGAGTCCCAAGTTTGATAGAAGTCAGTATCTTCTTTCTCCTTCAGTGACAAAGTCAATCTGTCCATTTCTGCACAGTCCAAGATCTTTTTTAGGATCAGTTCATAGGTGGGTAGCTCTTCACTCTTCCAGTGTTGGGCAGTGCTCTCAAGTTTCCTTGTGCTTTCAGGACTATTTCACTTCTTTAGATCATCTGTTTTGCTGGGGCAAAACCACTCAGTAGGTGAATTGCAACAGATGTGTTTTTACCAGTGTTGAGCTACAAGTGCTAGGACGTTTATTTCTGCTTGAAAAACATCACTGTCCAGTATGCTGCAAAGTTTTTATGACATGTTTATTTCAAAACCAGGATTAGGCAAAATTTGAGGGAAAAACATGCTCGACATATTGCTGATCTACGAGCTTATTACGATTCAGAAATCCAAAGCTTAAAACAGCAGCTGGAGGCGAGCCATAAACCTCCTTCCGAAGACTTGAAGAAAATCAATCAAAAGCTTGCTGACAGGTAATAGTTGAAATCTCTTTTTGAAAGTTCTTTTTTTCTGAAACAGATCCTTCTGTGTATTGTTGCTTCAGCTTTGAAGATATAGGGCATGTATTGTTAGCTGTGTGAAGATATAGTGATCGTTTTGGTGACTGTGAAATGCCAGTTAATTATGGAGGGATTTGGTGCAAAAAAAGAAGTGCTGTTATTCTTCACAAACAGGTTTGCTTTAGCACGAATTTTCATTTTTCAAAATAAATTAGTGAGTACAGGCCGTGACTTGCAATAGCTTATTTTCATTGTACAACACATGATGGTGCCTCTGGAAACCAGTTGCATATGTAACCTCCACTTGGAGGCCGTTGTGTCATGTGAACCCAATGAGCGTTGGTTGTGCAAGGGTTAAACAACCCTTGCATAACTCTAAGCCAAAAATTCTGCTTTGCCTTTGTCTTCCTCTTCCTCGTTTTCATGCAAATGCTTTAAGAATTGTTCTCATTTAATCTGTAGATGCAGCCAGTTAGAGGCAGCACTGAACGAAGCTAATAATCGCACGAGAGGCCTTGAAAATAAAAACAACACTCTAGAAGTGGAAGTGGTGAGTGTATGTTACGAATCCAATAGAAGAGCTCAGTCCAGTCCACCAAGTCAGAAAGGCCAGGTCAGGCCTCTTGAGTCCAGCAAGGCTACAGATGGAAGTAACTTTATTTATAGAGCACCTAAAATTTTCTAGAAGCTGTGTAAAGATGAAAACATGGCACGGGCTTTACCCGTAGGCGTACAACCCAGAAGGCGAGGGTGGGGGTGGAGAAAGGCATAGTGGTGCTTGATGTAACGATTCAGGAAGAGGAGGAGCCCGTTAACGGCTCACACCAATGGAGCTGGGGGAGTGCACCAAATATAGGCCCTCCGGGAGCCCATAGACGCATGCAGAGCTTGCCTTCTCTGTGGGGCTGCCTGAGAGCGTGCCTGTGGGAGGAGCGAGCCAAATAGCGCTCCGCCGAGCTCCACCACGCTCAGGCCATGTATATTTTGTTGATAACCTGTTGGCGATGCTCAGAAGAAGACTAAACATGGGGACTTGGTTTTGGCCACTGGGCCGCCTTCCTTTCTATGCCGCAAAACTTCCGTGTGCTTTCAGACGACCTGTTCATACTCGCTTGTAGGACTCTTGGCATCTCTGTGTTTCAGGCGGACTGGAGGGAGCGCTTTAGTGCCGTGACCAGCACAACCAAGGCCCTGCAGGAACGTGTGGAAGAAATGCGCTCAAGCAGCAAGGAGAAAGATAATACCATCAGCCGTCTCAAGAGGAGGCTTAAAGATCTAGAAGAGGCCTTTGAAAAAGCCTACAAGCTCTCAGACAATAAGGATGCCAGGCTGAAGGAAGAAAATAAAATGTTTCAAAATGTAAGTTGGCAGCCTCACACTTGGGCTGCAGGACCATCTGGGATGGTAGACACTCTGAGTAGTCCAGTCAGGCACCCGTTTTCTGCTGCCAGATAGACAGGAGCATTGCTGGAAGCCAGCCGCTGCCTACCAGGATTCTTGGTGGAGGTGATCTTTCCTTACGACAGGAATCTTTTCCCCCAGATGTTGGTAGTTCAGCAACTCCTTCATGGACATCTCTTTAGTAAAAGTACAGAGTTGTCTCTCCTAAAATACAACTATCTCTGTGGTAGCCTGTATTTTAAAAATAAACTCATCTAAAGGCATTCTCGAAAAAGTATTCTGTTCTGTTTGACTCCAGATGGTTAAGCTTTGCTTTTCTACAGCTGGGAAGGCAAATCTTTGATGTCACTGCCCACTCAGTTTCTTTTCTGTCTCCTGCAGTTAAATAGATGTGCTTTTGAGCCCATGCTCTGTATTTCTGGTATTTCTAATTCTCAGTTTCTAATTGGGCTATTTTTTTTAGCTCAACCAGGGATAGGCGAAAACTCATCCCTCACAAGCTCCAGTTAAATTCTATTTAGATGGGTATATCTAAGATGACTAATAAGTATGACATAGGAGGTTTTTGGCTGACATCTGCAGCTTGCTTATTTTATTTATACCCTGCCTTTTTTCCTGCAAGAAACAGGTGGCTTGCATAATCCTCCTCCTCTTCTATTTTATCCTCAAACAACCCTGTGAGGTAGGGCAGGCTGAGAGTCTGTGACTCTCCCAGAGTCACTGAGTGAACTTCATGGCCAAGTGGGGTCTGGAACCTGACCTCCTGCATCCCAGGCCGGTGGTCTCCTGACTGCCGCACACTGGCTTTTACCAGTTAGAGTCAGTAATCTTACGGATTTCCCCCCTAATATTAACAGGAGGCAGCTGATTTATACTGATGTTCTACCATTTCTGCCTGTTTGAACATTCGCAGTTAGTGATAGGAAAGCAGGGCTGAACTATGAACTCCTTGGTTTTGTCCACCCAAACCCTGAACTGTCTTTTTCTTAAAAATTTAAAATATATAATTGAGGGGAAGAAGCATAATTGGAATGGGAACTTAATTTCACACTGAAACTGTTCTTTTGGGGGAAATTGTTTATGTATCAATTGTGCATTGAAAGTGTCGTTTTGTTCCTCTTTGGTTTGGTGGCCTCTTGCAGAAAAACTTGAATAAATGTTCCCCCTTCTTCCTGGCAGGAAAATATTAGGTTAAAATTTAGCTAACTAGATGATTTTTTTAACTTTAGTGATTATGCATCTCAAAAATGATGACAAAAATAATTTATTTCTTCGCAGCTTTTAGGAGAATACGAGTCCCTTGGGAAAGAACATGAGAGAGTAAAGGTGAGAAGCGCATTAGCTGCATGCTTAAATGGGTTAGAGCCTTAGAGCACAATCCTGAGGATACATTGTCTTGTCTTGTATCGTAGGCCTCTGTCCTAAGACCTGCTGCCTTTAAAATCTCAGCGAGGCAAGCCTCTTGGCTCAGCCAGCTGCCCCATCTCACTGGCATGGGATCAGTGACAGGGAATCTTTAGGGTTCTCCAGATTCTCATTTCCACCCTCCCCTCTTCCTGAGTTCTTCCAGTGTTGCTCTTGTGACTTCAGAAGTGCAGATGCTGCTGTGCTTGCTGCGGTATTTGCAAAGAGCAGGCAGCTTAGAAGCCGAAGTCACAGCAGTGTCTGCAGCCTGGGGAAGGGGGCCATTTGCCAGAAGCTGTGGTCCCTGGGATGCATTGCTTAATTCACTTCTGGATATGTAGCAGATGTGCATTTGACCATTAATACAAACCGACACATTAAAGGGAAAAAAACTAGATGATTCTGGTGCCTCTTTGAAACAAACCTTTTGTTTTATGTGACATTTTAATTCCGGAGTAGGGGTGATGGCTACCTAGTGGTCACTAATCTAGTCCTAGAAACGGAATGTATGTCCCCTCTTAAGGCTCTTGTCCATTTATTGATATTATTGGTGATCATTATTGGATGCTGTGCTTCCTTTTATTCTGTTTTTATTGTAGACTGCCCCAAGACTGTAGTAGTCAGATGGTAAATGAAAGCTTTAAATAAATAGATAAAGTATATCACAGTGTATTTCAAGCAAGAAGTCTGGGTCCAGCTAGCTGTGCCTCCGCCATAGGTGCCTGAAAGTGGGGAACCTTGGAGAAACATGGATTGCTTGGGCAAATCAACCAAGCCCCATGTTACAAGACTCTCTCTCTCTCTCTCACTGCCATTAGCAGCCAGTGTGGATCTATCCTGACAGGCTCCATATGGGGATTAATTATTAGCTAGTGATGGTGAAGCAAAATTAATACCCTAAGCTTTCTCTAGAGGAAACTAAAGGCCTAACAGGATTGATGCCCAGAGAAATAGAAGAGATGTGTTATCATTCAAGATTAGCTCAGAGATCAATTCTGTGTTTACAGCTAATGTAAGTTTAATATGTGCTTTCTTCTTCTCCACAGGATTCTTTAAACATAACTGAGAACAAGCTGCTGGATGCACACACTCAGATTTCTGATTTGAAAAGGTAAATGAGCCATTTAATCTGAAGTGAGAAAGGCATTTTTAGCTTTAGTTAAGTATTGTAAAACTGTTGCTAAAAAGCAGGCGTGGAGGCCTATGGCCTTCCCAGCTGTTGATTTCCCAGTTGTCAGCTCCCATCAGCCCCAGTCAGCAGGCCCAAGAGTCAGGAATGACCAAGCAGGCATGGTCTTTATGATACCTGAAAGAGTAAATCTTGCCTGCACCCTGTCTGTTAAGGGAAGTTCTTGAGGCGGCTCACAGCCTATTCAGACTGCTCTAGTTACGTTACGAGGCTGAGGCAAAACTGTTCAGCAGTTTACTCCTATGCTTTTCTGCTCAACAGTATGTATGTACCCCAAAGCTCCATGCCATCTTACTGCTTACAGAAAGCATTGCTGTCTGAATCACATACAGCACTTTGGGCTTTTCATTTTTGGATCTGTGAAAATCCGTTACGAGATCTGGGCAGAGATTTGAAACCTCGGCGGCTTGCTAGTGCAGGCCAGGAAAACAAATCACATTGGAGTGAGGCAGAACGTTTCCAACTGCCTCCCACTGAGTCACACCCCATGGGGACAGACTTGTTGGATCAGACTTACCTTATATCTTTATTTTTAAATCGCTTTGTAAAACAACGTCTTTGCCTTCTGCTTTAGAACAGTCTCAAAACTTGAAGCTCAAATCAAGCAGCTGGAACATGAAAACTTGCTCAAATTTCGACATCTTGCAGACAGTCACTTCAGAACATCTTATGTCAAGTGAGTAACAAGTCACACCCTGTGAGGCAGTGAAGGATGTGAAGCCACAGTTGGTTTTAGGGAAGATGTAACAAGAATTGGTTAGCCAGTTTAGCTGGATGCAGGAAAAATCCTGTCATGCAGACATGTTAGGAATGAATAAAAGGGGATTTATTTAATTTGCTCCTTTTCAAGCACGAAATTCTGACGTCAGCCATCTCTGCCACACGAGTAGCAAAGGGGAGATAATTGCTTTCTTCGTTGACATTTCGTACAAGACCTCTATTTTAATTCCTTTATACTTAACAGAGTTTTCTGTATCATCTGTTTTCCTCAACCCTGTATTGACAACAGTGTGTATTCATTCTTCTTTTGGTTAGTAAAATACACTGGCGAAACAAAAGAACTAATGCTTCACAAATCCTCACATTTTCTGTCCCAGCAGCAAATTAGCAAGCTGTGATGTGAGCAGAAGGAAATGGCTGATACCAGGATCTGAGTATTCCATCTTCACAGGCCAGCCTTTGGAGGCCCAAGGCAGCCCCAAAGATAACCGGCTCGAAGAAACATACGCTGCTTGCAGGTAAAGTGAGGTCGCATGCTCTGTTGGCCAAGAGAGGCTGTTTCCAAAGGAGTTCCGCTAGCAGCATGGAAGCAGTTTTGCCAGCAGGCATCTGCCCTCGTCTTAATCTACCACTGGTGGGTTTCTTATCAGACAAACCCTGCCTGCATCTAACCAATACGTGTATATAAAAAGGTGCTAGGAAACCTGTTCCTCCCCGTGCGCAGCTCTTTGATCAGCATGATTCCCGCAAACACTGGCTATGCAAATAAATCCAGATGTATGTTTCTAGGCAGCAGTCACCTCCGGAAAAAGATTCCTCTTCGGATCCCTCACTGACAAATGAAACCGCAAAAAAGGAAAGCAAAGTCCCAGAGACACCAGTCATGAAAGCTTTCAGAGAACTCGAAGAAAGGAAGGCAGTGAAAAACTGGGGCACCCAGACATCGAAAGAGGAAGAGGAGGTGGCAGCTCCCACAAGTAAGCCGCCCCGAGGGGTCGCAGGCTTCCCGGACCACGTGTTCTGGTCTTGCTGACAACTCTTTCTTATGTTTTAGAGTAAGTCTGGCTCACATTTAGATGATGAGCCGCTCTGTGACACCCAGGCGTAGTCTGGCAAGCGCCGCTCACTTATTTCCTGACAAAAAATTTAATGAGAAGCTATGCAAGCTTCTCTGATGTTTTAACAATGCCTGTTGATCCAGCAGAGCCATCCGGGGGGCTTCTCGTCACCATTCACTGCATTTCGTTTCGTTTCGTTTCGTTTCACACATATGGATTACTGTTCCATGCTAATTTTGGTGCATTTGTCATGAATACACCTCGGTTCTTCTCAGAATTGCATCTTCCATGAGTTCTTCTTGGATCGGTCGAATGTGTCTGTTTTTAAAGAGCTATTTTCTCTTTGTGATTTGATCTGCCTTTTAATTTACCTGTTAGAATTACTGCCATTGTTCTGCCGCTTTCCTACTTGGCTGTTGTTTTTCTTTATCAGGGAAAGCAAAGTGTTAAAAGCAGGGGCAGGGTTTGAGCTTAGCTTGAAAAGTGCCTGGGTTCACTTTCTGTTCAAAGAAGGTAGAATGACAAAGTTCAGTATGGCCTGGCTCCAGTTGCACGGACTTGCTGACCCTGATCATAGAGGAAGGGATACACTAGTGGCCAGGAAGTGAGTAAAAGCATTTTAACACTTTTTATCTTACCTGAGCTAATACAGTTCCCGCAGCATCTTGCACAAGATCAGTAGGAATGTTAACAGATTATTAAAATAGTACCATCAAAGAGGCTGTAGCGATGACGGTTCACCCGCCGCTTCTCGCCGGCTTTCTGGGTGGTTGGTTGCAATGGCCTGTCAGATTGTAGGAGGGTCCAGTCTTGGTTTGGTGAAGCTGCACCAGGTAAAGAAGGCATTGATGGTCGTTCATCTCACTGTGAGGTGGCTGTTCGGACCAAGTGCACACGAGAGGCTGACATCTTTAGGGTAAAACATCCCACAGGGTGGTGGCAGGCGGTTGGTTCCCGGCTTCTGCTCGCTGGAAACACTCCTTGAACGCAAAACCTTGCCTAGCTTGCCTTCATTTCCACGAGGATCGCTCTCTCTTTGCATGCATTCCCCAGATCTGAGGAGGCAGAAAGGGGAGACTCGGGAACCTGTAGTATTTTGTTCACAAGATGTTCCTTCAGTGAGCTTTTGTTCTTCTTGCTGCTTGCCGGGCGGGTGTTCTGCATCATCTTTTAAGTGTTCCAATGTACTCCGTGCATATGCATTTTTAATACTGCTATTTTCTCGTTAGAGTTTTCTTGAACTGCTTTGTGGGAAGCAGGGGGTGGGGAGGAAGGCCACACATAATGCTAAAATCGCCCTCTTCCTTCTTCCAGAAACAAACACTCGGCGTCCAGTGGTTGGCTTTGATGAAACCGCTCTGGGTTCCACCCGGTCCCCAGAGAAAAGCAAAGACCACGTCAGGCACAAAAGATACAGCCCACCAGGCGGCCAGCGGTCCTCATCTCTCCCACCTTCAAACAGGAAGCCAAATACACCAAGTGAGAATCACCATTCTTGGCTGAGGCAGTTTTAGGGATGACTTAACTGTGTTAGAGTCAAAGTCTGGCCCACTTCCAGCTTGTATGTGACTTGTGCCGTTCTGCTGCCTTGTTTCTTTTTAATTTTTTACCCTGTTCATCCTTGTAACGGGTTTATTTGTTGCAACGAATGTATGAGGAAAGGCAGGGCTCATGAGGGAGGGATGATGAACAGGGCAACTGCTGTACGAGGTGGCTCCTGCACAACCCTGGGCAGCCCTACTGTGTTTACAACAGGACTGCTTTAGGGTGGTGGGAGTGGGGCAGGTTGTCCCCGGAGCTGACTGCCCGCACGCCTATTCCTGTCGCCATCCCTTCGTCGAGGCAGGCCTCCCGCACAACCAGGCCAGGCTGGGCTTCTGTAGGTGGCTCTTTGGGCTTTCAGTTGCTAATCCCCACCGTGCGTTCACTTCGAAGCAGAGGATGCTGCCAGGAAGTCCTCGAATCATGCGGCTTTTAATACTGCGAAGTCCCAGGTGCCTGCTGTTAAGCCCCTGATACGCTGTTTCTCTTGGCAGCAACGAGAGAGATCATGCTGGCTCCCGTCACTGTCACCTACAGCCCCAAACGCTCTCCAAAAGAGAACCTCTCGCCCGGATTTAGCCAGTTGCTCAGAAACACGGAGAACATGACGACGAGGTAACGGTCTCCTGATTCTCGCTTCCGGCTGGGCGGTGGGCAAGCGGGGTGGCGTCAGCAGGATCTGCTCTGGGATGTACAGAAACCCTGCTGGGAATCATGACTCCGGCCACTCCAAGAGCGGTGGAAAGATGCTTCCACGGTTCTGCCTCGGTGGGCAGTCAGTGAACCAGCTGCCAGAGTGGGGATGCGTGTCCGGGGAGGAGGGTGGATGGAGAGTATGAGACTTGTGGGCTTGGTGCTTCCTGTGGGGGAGGGTGAAAGGTGGAACCCCGACGCGGCTGCGCCCCTCAACTGAAAGAGCAGGCGTGCAGCCATTCTTTTGCGTGGCCGCCGGTTGTTCCCCACTCGCACGCCTCTTCGTGTGGCTTTATGCAGCTGATGTGCATGCAAATTGCACTCACTGGCAAGAGCCTTGGAGGAAAGCTGCTTTGCAAGTCCGCCTTGCTTTTCCTGTTCTTCATTGAGTTCTAATTTAGTTGCTGTTTTTTGAATTTGACAGGAAATGGCCTTTTGGGCCTTTCCATTTAGCCGTTTCCTGTGATGACAAAGAGTAAATCTCACCGGTATTCAGAGACAGTGAAAGGAAAAGTCTTTCTGCAAGTGCTTCTCTCTCTCCTTTCCCTAAAATACTAGATTTGATATTCTCCTCGATGATTTGGAAACTGCTCCCCGGCCTGCAGCACAGTACAGCAACCCTTGGAAAAGGCTGGAGTTTCGCTCAGTAGGTGATGCAGAAGGTACATTTCCTCAGTACGTTCGGTTTTGTTTGTTTCCTTTAGTTTCATACAAGAAACCTCCGTCAATCTGCCATGTCGGAACACCTCGCATCTTCAGGGGTGATGCGTGCTGCGCAATGCCTCTCATTCTTTCCAAAAGCTTTATCCTTCCCTCCCGCTGCCTCACGCTTGAATTCTTTGCTGCTGCCAGGAGCAGATGCTGTACAGCAGCACAACCATTGCCGAGTAGTTGCATTGCCGGCATCTGATCCACTGACAAGCCCCAAGAAAGACCTATTTGTAACTCTGGTCGCTCCAGCCCAGCGCTGGGTCCTGCCTGGAAGGCAGTGCCTGCATTAGTCCCTGGGGAGCTGCGCCTGGATCCAAGTTCTGCTCAGTTACGAAGAGCAAGAATGCGTCCATGGGACCACCTCCTTTATGTCCATCAAATCCCTCCTCAGACCTCGGCCTTTCTAGGAGATCTTGAAGCAGCCTCCCAGACCCAGTGCCCTCTAGTAACCAAGCAGAAGACGGTGCACTTGGGAGGGCCGTGGAATGTGGCAGTTCACCAGTTCTCTTTATAACGTACCATGTACAGAGATGGCACGCTGCACGTATTCCAGTAAAGCTTACTGGGTGCATCAGCCTTACCTGCTGCGCACAGGTGTGATGGAAACATTTGCGGGGTGCCAGAATGGGTAGCTCAGCCCACCAGCGATGTGCATTCCGCCAGCAAAAATGCCCCCATCGGAGTCCGGCCAGAGTCTTTTCTGCATGAATTGTCTTTTTAGAGAAAGCTTATAACATTTCTCCTTTTGTTTTTCTTGGGTAGACGTGCAGCATGCCAGCCCAGGCAAAGCCAGCAGTGCAAAGCCACCTCCTTTGCGTGGGGGAGCAAAGGCAGGCGTGGTCGGGACGGCTTGGGAAGAGGAAGGCTCTACCCACGGGAGCACTCCGTGCCTGTCGTCATCGAGCACAGCCGCCCCTTATGAAGCCGATTTCAAATATGTTTCTAGGATTAAGACACTGGCTGAAACTGAGAGACTCTTTGATGAACTCACACATGAAAAGCAACAGGTAGAAGCCAAATGCTTGGTCTGTGTTCCCTGATGGTTTTGGAAGAACACGTACCCCCCCCCCATGATGTTCGTGCCAGTGGTTTTGTGTTCAGTGTTGTGTACACTTGCAGAATGCTCTCAGATCCCACTGCGCCCACTTGACAAGATCTCCTCCATACATGCTTGTTCAGGGGCAGGGCGAAGTGTGTTAAAACTCGCCACATAGGCTTTAAGTCAAGTTTCAGGGGCTTCCAATGGGAATTCACTGGTCCCAAGCCAGAGGAGAAGCATGCAGATGTCCTGCTGGTTCCCAGATTGCCAATTTATAGTTGGTGTGATGTCCCCTTGCCCTTGTTCTGCCCAAAATTCTTCCCTTTCCTCTCCGCTCCCCATCCATCTGTCGCTCCTTCTTAATTGTAAGCTCTGCTGAGTAACTTTGCCAGGACTGCAGACAAAAGGGGGTCCTTAGAAAAAAGCAGGAGGTACCAGCATCCTCGCAGAACCCAGAGGGTTGCCACTCCCATTTTCATAGACTTCAAAACTATCTTTGGATAAGCAAATTTCACATCTAAAGCGGGATTTTGGAGTGCAAAGAGATGTGTTAACACGACCCAAGGTGGTACAGCCCTACAGCCTTTATCATTTCTGCTAAATAATGGTTTCTGGTCCTCTTATAGATAAAATGAAGGATAGTTTTATTGTGACTGTTGAAACTTTCAGAATTACCTGGTATTGTTCTCTGTTCCAGATAGAGGCCCAGCTGAGCCGAATACCGTGTGCTGGAGGGAGAATGACTCTGCAAGCGAGATTAAACCAGGTTTACATGTTCATTTTGATACCCCTGGGGGAGTGTGTGTTTTAGGCTTACAGCTGAACCAAAATGGCAGAAGCTACCACAGCCACCCCTTGCTTTTCTGAACTGGTTCCTATTTGGATGCCCCTTAAATGGTAGAACGGAAATTTAAAGGTTGGCCTGCATGTGTGAATGAACCAACACTTTACTGTTGCCTCAAACGCAGCGCTTCTTGGTTCACAGTTCACTCACAGCTGGACTGAGCGGTGTCCCCGCACACTGCTCTTTGGCTTTGTAGAAAGTACTTGTCAAGTGGGGTTGAGGAAAAACTTGAAGAACGTTTTCATTTCCCCATATGCAACAATATTTACTAATTGGTACTGCTTACATTAAAAGGCTGTACTAATTTATACAAACAGAAAGCCATGATCACCTGAGAACCCTGGTAAATCTGGGAAGGGTTGCTGCTTGCCCTTTACTGATCTTGAATGTGTGTATTGAATGTTTCCCACAGGAAGCCTTGGAAGATCGCCTGGAAAGAATTAATAGAGAATTGGGTTCCATCCGCATGATTCTGAAGAGATTCCACATTTTACGTACCTCTGCAAATATTTGAGATGTCTCTCTTTAAATTAAGATATCCTTTTGTTTGCACTAAAAGTATAATAATTATGCACTCTGGAAATGCAAATGTTTTTGTATTTTTGTAAGCCTTCTACAGCAGTTTTGCAATCATGTTGCCCTTTACACACAGTATTTTGTATTGAGCCACATATATTTTAAAAGAACTATTTTTGTTACATCTGAAGGAATCAATCTGTCAATTCTGTATTTTGCTACTTTTGAAGAAGTGTTAATAGTTTTTTGAAACAGTGGGTCTGAATTCTTTATAGGAATAGAGAAACCAAGAGGCAGCTTGTTTTCAAAGGTTTATCATGTTGAAATTGATTTTTGTGGAGTACTCTGCTTACCATTTTTATACAGCAGGTAACCTGTCTTGCAAAGTAAGTTATGAAGTATTGATTTTTTATTTATGCTAAACACGTCACATGGCTTCTTGTGAAGCAAGCTTTCAACAAACATTACACAGATTGTGGTTCAGACATTTCATCTTGTTTTGTAATCTTTTTGTTCAGTTGTACTGCAGTGTTTTCAACAAATACACAAGGTTGGCCTAGGGAAGTGTATTTAAATATCTGTATAGATGCATACCAAGGACTTAAGAGAGACCAAACCCAGTTTCTCTTTTTAAAAGATGTTTTTATTTTGCATGTATGTCGCTTGAAATATTAAAGCACCATTGTCTAAAATTAAGTAGTTAAGGTCATTTTTTAATTTCATGGTGAATGTTTGTTGGCTGGCGTGCAGCTTCTGTTTCTGGCCATATCGGGGGCCCACAATTTGTAATGACCTCTGCATGGGCACTTTTGGGGGGTAGCCACTCAGCGAAACGGTAACATCAGTTTGCTCTTTGGCAGGTATGGAAAATGTGTGCAAACCAAAAAACTGCTCTTAACAGTGACCTATTGGCTCTCTCTTCTTGGCACTTTCGATTTAGCCTCCTGTCCCTTCACATGATGAGGATACCGAGTGAAACACTGCAGCAGAAAGCTTTTTATTGGTATTTAAGGGGCTGCCTGGTATAGAAGTCACTAGAATGCAACCCCCTCCCCCACTAGATCAATCATTGATCATCTAAGGAGGATAAACGCTCTTATTTCTTCAATATAGGTGATGTGGAGAACTTCATCACTGATTCTGAGGCAGAGCATGCAAAGAAGGGTAATGTCTACCTCTCCAAATGCTGCTCCTTCCAGCTGCGGCTTCCATGGGGTCAGAGGCTTTTTCTCAAGTGGAATTGCTTTGGCGACGTGGGGGAAATTTTCAAGGGCAGCCACCCACTGGGAGGGGAGGGATCATCCCCCATCTCCACTGGCAAATCTTGAAACATCAAGTGGCCCTTTTTCAAGACAGAGTTTGAAAGGTTCCAGACCTGCACCTCCAGATTAGCAACATTAAATGCTTTCCATGGAGATCCCAAACTCATTGGACACTTGCTCGAAGTTGACTGCACCTGCACATTTTCCCACTGTCTCTTCACAAAAATACTTTTAAGGTGGAAGAAATGGAATAGAACACAGTGCTTGTTAAGTGGCGGTACCTGGAGCCCTCTGTCTGGGAGCACCAAGGGCAAAGGTAGCTGTGCTGGCCAGGGCGGATGGGAGGTTCAGACTTAAGAATTACCTCTCTTCCTGGGCAAACTTAAATTTCCATCAGTAAGACCACTCTTTGGCTGGTAGATATCAGCTTTTGTCCATTGGGGGGCTAAGCCTTAGAAGAGTCCACAAATCAAAGCAACCAGCTTTTCTAGAATCTCTATGAGCCAGGAGGCCTGGAAATGAAAAATTGGCAATCAAAGCCCCTTCAAATAGCCAGGGATGCTTGTAGCAAAGTCAACCCAAACTTTGTTAATGAAGGGTAAATCACTAGGGACTAAGAATAAATTAGGCCTCATTAGCTGTGTTCACACCTCAGTGGGTGTTAGATGCGCAGCTAAGTCACAAGTATGGGCATGTTTCTATCCTCAGAAGCTTGCCCCTTTTCATACATTAGAAAAAATACATTTTATGTAAATTGTAATTTATTTTCTCCCTGGAGGATGAGTATAAAGCAGCCTCTACTTCGTTTTCTTTAAAAACCAATATTACTTTTTTTTCTGCCCTTCCAGCACTGCTGCCAATAAGTTCTACTTTCTTAATTTACTCCAGAACAATCCTCAAGGCCATCTGGGAGACGGCTTGCTTGTTTTTGGGTTCCTCCAGAGCTGGCTGCAGGTTGGGCATTTGTGCAGCGTCCAGTGGTTCTGACCTTGCCAACCAAATGTCCTGAGAATAATGGAGCTCCTTTTCTGAACAATTTTGGGGCAAATGAGCCTTTCCTACAATGGCTTAGCAAATGCTTTGAATCTTCAAACTCCATTCAACTCTTGAGCAATTTTTACATAAAGAATTGATCGGGAAGATACAGCAGAAGTGAAACCAGGAAGTTCCAGAAGCAATTGTCTCCTGGTCAACATGGGTGAGCTGGTTCATCTGTGTCAGATCCATCACTTTATTCTTTTCAGCACCAGGCTAAAACCTTTTTATTTTCCCAATACTTTAAGGTTTGACTGTTTGTTGATATGGGTTTGTTAGAATTTGATTAGGATGCTGTGTTTTATTTTTTGTTTTACTGTTAAACTGTCCTGAGATGATGGTAAGGGACGGTCTAAAAAGGTTTTAAATAAATACATACATAAATAAAATAAAAATTACCTCAAATCCAAAGAGAGGGGTCGACACTGTACAGCTGGGAGAGGGACAATACCAGAGTTGGCTGGTCTTTTCCTTGTCTTGGGAAAAGCCAAGCAAGCCAACAAGACGTTCTTGTACTGTCTGCAGTACCATTTCGGTGCAGGGACTTATACAAAGGAAGTACGGCCTGTGATCTGAGGGCTACATGCGACCCCCCCCCCACCATACTGCTGCCAAATTTCCCCACTATTGCCACCTTCCTGCCCTGAGGACAGCTCTTCTGATTGTGCTATCCAGTTCCTCACCCGGAGATCCTTGCGGACTGCTCTTTTCCTGCCACCTCAGCAGCTAGGACAGGATGTCATCACCTGTGCAGGCATGTGCAACATGGCTTCAGACCCCAACCTCTGAACCCCTTTGACATGTGGCCTTGCGACCAGAGAAGATGCATACTCCTGTCGATTGCTTTGTCCCGCCCCGATCTCAATAATCCTATAAAAAGCCCATGTAGAAGTCCTGCTTGGTCTCCAGGGAATCCCTCTCTGCATTGGGTTGGATTCCTTCTTTTAGCCAAGTAATGCCTCTTATTTTTATTGGAGCTCGCTCACTTCCCCTCAGTTCTGCAACCCAGCCAATCTTTGTTGGATAGTTGATGTACCTTCTGGCTTCCCCTTTCAGATATGGCATTATCTCTCCCTTGACCTTCCTCTCCACCCTAAATTTACCTCCAGTGAATGCCTCTTGTAGTTCTTTGCTTTCGGCTCATGGATTACGAGGACAAGATGTATTGTTCTGGAAATGGCTGTCGCAAAAGGTATGCTTCAGCAGGGGCCAAGAACCCAGGGAGGTTGGTGCCTGCCCAGTTCGGAGCAGCAGGGCTTCCCGGGCGCGAGCGAAGAGCCATTCATGGAATTGTTCGCTGCATGGCGGGTGTTTTGTCCCACTCGGCTCTGGCAGTGCTTCCAGACAAAGGGCATTTCATATGAAGATCCCTCCCAGATCTTCCCACGGTCCACCCGGAATACTCCACACTCTGCTCACACAGCAGTTGGCCGTAGGAAGCCCACAAGAAGGCAAGGGCGTTTGCTTCAAACGGATTCACTCGGCCACTTCTCTCTCTGTGTGGTGTTGACAGAAATGAGAGAGCTCTGACTTTTCCAAGTGCTTTCTTGCAGCCAAAGCAAAGCCGTCGGATGCCACAAACCGGACAGAAGCTTAACACTTTCTGCGGCACCATGTGTGTCTCCTGGAAGTGGGATGGGGAGAATCCATCAACATCTCTGCACAACACAGGATGTGGACCTGGGGCACCAGCACAAGATGGCTCCTATGGAAGATGAGGCTGTTCACAAAATGGCTGCTGTCAAGAAGTGCCCAGGAGTAGAGGAGAAGGTAATGGGAAGAGCCTTCCTAGCCTGCCTCCAGACCTTTCCTCTTTGCATTCTCTCTCCACTCCCAGCCTCTAGTCTTTCTATTTCTCACCCCCAACACATTTTATTGCTGTTTATCTCTTTCCCGGCCCTTTGCCTCTCAGGTACTGTACTATAGTCCTAAAAAAAGAAAAGCCCTGAAGAAAAAGATAATCCATTTTCCCCAAAAGGCAACGATGTCCCCTTCCGCATGCCCTTTTGCACGTCCTCTAATTTGCCAGATTATCCCTTGATAAATCCAGTGTGATGTGTTAATTAACATGACCCACCTTCTGGAAACCTTTTGTGTGGTTCTTTCCTGTCCAATTTTCACCCATCGTTGTCTTTCCAAACTGTCTGGATGATTTAGTTGTTTGTTTAAAACTTGTGTATGCCGCCTCTTATGCATGGCATCTCGGGATGGCTCACCATCGTGACTGCACGGTGGTGCTTCGCCAGACATCCTTCGCACTCCTGTTCCCTTTTGTGGAATAGCTGAGCTGGATTGCCTTGGAGGGGCGATTTCAAGGCCTTGATAAGGCTTGTGATATGAATCCTAAAGCACCCTGAGAAAGCACACTTCCTCACCGCTGGATGTGCGTGGGGTGCACATGGCCCGAGGCTGCCTTGTGATGCAGACCCCCGCACAGGAGCCTGCCTCAGAAAACAGGTTCCAGTGCACGGGACACGCCAGATCCCTGGCATTGCGTGGCCACGGAAAAAAGCAAACCGCGGAGCAGAGTCAGGTGTGAGCCTTCACCTAACCCGTGAGAAGCGTTCAGGTGCAATCCAATGGCGTTTAGCTAGAACACCCAAGCCCAGGCCGGCCGGCGGATGCAGGAGCTACAGGCGTTTCTTCTGCCTAGGATGGTTCCCTTCACGAATCCGTTTGGACTTTTCCAGTGCCGAGGGAGGTGAGGGGAGCAGTCCGTCAGCCATCCCTCGGCAGGCAGGCGAAGGCATTGGTCCCGCTCGGCCTTCTGCAGGTAAGCTGGTCTGTTGCTCAAGGGCTTCTTCGGGGGGTCGTTCGGCGCCTTGTTTTTATTATATGAGTGTTTGGGTTGTGTCTCAGTGAAGACTTAATGTTTCATGTGGGCTTTTCCTGAGCGGCCTCGATGGGCCGTGAAAGCAGCACTTGAGGGAGCGGCCCCACGCGCCCCCTGGGCAGGGCCTGCTCCGAGGGTCCGCGCTCAGGCAGGGCGCCTTCCCGGAGCTCCCTCCGTCCCTCCCTCCCGGGGCCGGCAGGGGGCCAGCGGGCGGCGGGCTGCGAGCAGCTGCCAAGGGGGAAGGCAGCCCTGGGAGGGGCCCTCGCCAGTGAGCCCCTGCCGAGCCCTCGCTCCCCCTCGCCAGGCTCGGGCCAGGGGTGGCCAGGCCGGGGGGGTCCGGCGCAGGCCCAGAGCCACCCCCAGGGCACGACTTGGCACCACGGAGGTGTGCGCGCGTGCGCGCGTCACTGAAGGAGCCCAGCGCCTGCCCGGGGCGCCCGTTCGCCGGCGAGAGCGGCCCCCCCGGCCAGCCAGGCCCCCGCGCGCCCGCCAGCGCCGCCCGCGGGAAGCTGCGGGGCCCCGCCG